GGAATTCATTTGTTTAGTCAATTACCAAAATTTGGATGATTTTGAATATTCACTTGAAAAGTTATCAAAGAAAAACATTTTTCATTTTGTAACTTCGAGGGCCCGTAACTTGGTTACGAAGACTTTTAGGAAAAAAAGTTATATGAAGTACTGGTGATATTTTGACCCCATCTATACATTCCCGAGAGGAAAAGAGGAAGTCCAGGGACACCCTGTATAAAGAATTGAAATACCTTTCTAGTGAAAGGTCACAAAACACCCCTTTCTATTGAAAATAAAATTGATAGCGCCTTCTCTGGGGCGAGTGGTGTCACACTATTGGCTTTTTGTAAAAAAAGTACCAAAAATTATGAGAAAGAGATAGGTATATGAGTAGTGTTTGCTTAACAGTTAATTTTGGAACTTATAGATAAGCATCAAAAGAGAAACGTTTGTATATATTTCATCTCGAAACAATTATTTATTTACTTATTGAATAATTACAGAAAAAATCTAGTGGAGTCAGCTCTTGTAACCTTGCTGGTCACTCTACCGCTCCATCAAATTAAATAATTTTATCGTTGATATATTTTATATCAATTCTTTCGTTGTGAGCGGAAACTTCAACGCGTTCAAAGTAAATGTAATTCAACACATTTTCGAAAATTTCCAAATATAACTGAACAATGATATATCTAACTAATCATGAATTGGCACTAGGAGGAGATGAATCAATATAAAATAATTATTCAGGACAAATACTGTCTCATATTGAAACTCACGGCATGATATTTCGGAGAAATCCAAATTTCTGAAGCATGCTGTTTGGCTAAATGTGCCGAACGGAAGCAAAGGAAACCCAGATAGAGAGAAAGAGACAGATGCATGTTGTTTCTCTCTAATATTTTTCTGTAGATTGAAGCTAAAAAACAGGCTTGTTCTCCAAAATCACCCACCTCAACAAGTTCTATTTAATAAATATAATTTTTGTTACAGGTCAACGGTACGCCATCCAAATGTCATGGCAACTAGAGTCAATAGAAAGAATGCAGCCTCTGCAGCTGCAGCATCCCCAAAAGATATAGTAAACGCAGTCAAAAATGAACTTGTGGCATCACCAAAGCCGAGCGGAGCTAAATCAACGGCAAGAAACACGCCTATCGGAAAAAGATTAGCAAAAGTAACCCCAGCCAAAAAGATCGTCAAAAAAACAATAGGAATCAAGCTGAAGGCCAAAGCCAAAACGCAGCTGAAAGTCCTACCGAAAGCTCTCTTACAAACCACCAAAACTGCCGAAAACAGGAAAAAACTCTTGAGAAATGGCGTGAAGGAAATCAAACCAAGAAAGAAGAGGAAAACCGTCAAGAAGGAAATAGACGACTCGCCTCCTGTTCTGGAACCAATTTTTCCCATAGAAGAAAACTTGGAGGGTAAGAAAACTCCAAAGAAACGCCTGTCGAAGAAAGCCGCTAAAAACACTACCCCTGACCTGCTGGACATAACAAAAGTCAAAGTAGAAAACGAGGATGACCTCTCCCTGTCGAGCGATTTCACAGACATCTCCAATAACGAAATACCCACACTTTCCAGGCAGGTTAAAAAACCCAGAGCTTCTCGCAAGCCCAAAGTCCAGAGTGACACACTGGAAGATGTCATGAACGACCTAACTTTCCTCATAAAAGCTGACGACGTTAAAAAAGAGGTCGACTCCTTATCGGAATCAGGCAAAAGCGACACGGTAGCGAAACCCAAAAAGCTCACCAAGAGGCAGCGAATAGAACTACTGAAGAAGAAGATGATCAAAAAAGAAAATATAGAAAATACCCTGAGCAAGCTGGACTCGTCTGACGAAAAGGTCATCGACATGCTGGACCTGAACGTAAAGAGGGTCAAAAAAAAGTCGCCTTTGAAGAGGAGGCACAGCATCGAGAAGTTTCCTGTAGGCTCGGTGGAAACCAGCGAAAACGCTCCGCGCACTATTTTTGGTCATGTACCACGCAGCGCCAGCCCGAAAATCAAGCGCAATGCTAAGAGTAGACAAAGCATAGAAGGAAGTAGCCAGCGGCTTAACCCGTATGCTACTCGGTCTGATTCGCCAGCAAGAATGTTGAGGAATGGAAAACAGCGCAAGCTTAAATCCACAGGACTTCTGGCTGGGTTGGACAGCTCTAGCAAAAAGCGCAAAAGGTTGTGCTCTGATTTGAGCGGCAGCGAAATGTCTTTTTCTAAAATGTCAGGTTATGAATCAGACAGCAGCTTCTCTGATCTCTCCTCTATCCACGGAACTGAAAGTAACGACCCGAAGGATCTAGACTCGACCAAAAGCCAACAAAGCGCCAGCTCAGACACTGCCCAAAACGGACCAATAGATAACTTAGATATTATCGATACAAATTCAAACGTGTGCAAGGACTTCAATCTGAACAAGCCCACCATTAACTCTGAAGTAAAGGACGACGTTGTGTTGCCAGACAAAGATGCATTGCTTGACATCATGAAACAAGCGTTCAATGATGTGAGCTTCCAAAAAAGCACGCCCAAGACTAGCCCCAAAGGCGGCGCCGTGGGAACGGCTAGGTTTTATGGCAGGACACCCCTTAAAGGTAGAGGGAATGTGGGCAAAACAGAAAGAATCGAGACGATAGTGACGGACGAGAGTTCTAGTACTTCATTTTCGGAAAGTATACCGGCCAGAACGATTACTTCTGAGGAATCTCACCAGGAAGAAGTGGTGGAGACCTCATCCGGTTTTCAAGAATCAACCAAAGTGGATCAGGACAATATCGAAACTATGAACGACACAGATGATATTCTGGCCCAATCAGATGATGTCTTGAGCCAGTTGGAAAAAGTTCTAAATCAGCAAGAAGCAATGTTAAATCAGTCGGAAGAAACGCTGAAACAGTCAGTCTTAAATCTGCCAACAGAGCATATGAATGAACCTAAAGAGAAACCACTTCCTCTACTAGAAGTTCCAGTTCAGCTAGAGGAGGCAAGTCAGGAGAAAGAAATAACAGAACAGCCAACAGAGGTATTGAATCAAACCAAAGAAATATTTTTTGAACCGCAAGATGAAATAAGTGAAACTGAGGTTGTGGTAAACCGTTTTGAAATTACAAATCAAATGGAACTTATTGAAAATGAACCTGAACCTGCAGAAAATCAAAACGAGCAGGAGGAAGAGCAGCCAAATCATATGGATAGTCAATATGACGACAAATTTGGAGATACTGATACCAGGTTCGAAAATGTCAGTCCGCTTGTTATATCTAATCATCCCAATGAGAATACAGAAGAAATGGAAGTCGAAGTACCTGTAAAGTTTGAACCAATGAATACTAGTTCTTTTTATGGGCCTGAAACTTCTACAACACAGCAAGCAGATATAATGGGTCCAGTCGTGGAGGAAGATGTCAAAGAAGAAAATAACATGGAATGTGAAAACAGTGAAGACATTGATGCAGAAATCCAACCAAGTTTTCATCAGGAAAATGTTTCAGATGTGGTAAATGAGAAAGTACCTGAAGCAGTGACAGAAGAAAAAGAATCTCCTCTATTAAAGGAGACTGGAGTTGAGGTTGGAGTGGATCCTTTGGCAGAAGAGTTTATGGAGACTGCTCAAGATCCGTTATTGGTGCCTGTCCTGGATTCCGTAAAGGAAAAAAATAGTGAAGAGACTTTGGTTGGAGACGTGAGTGAAGGAACAAATGTAAATTCTAGTGATGTTGATAGGACTGAGAGTGATAACATTGTGATGGACTCGAGAGAAGAGGATGTTAATCCCAGTATTGAGGAGTCTGCTGAGGAACTTGCAGAAAAAGAAAGTGTTCTTAAGGTAAATTATACCTTTATTAACTGATGAAATTCAAGTTTATTATTCCTAATTCATACAAGTTGATGTATAAGATGATCAGGAGAAGTCGAGGACCCTTCGCCTCTCATGTGAACCTACGATTTTGTAGGTGCATATGGCATATACTTGACCGAAAAACAACAACTTACCTAGCTAATGCCGCGCAGAAAACTGAAGTACCTACAAAATCGTATTTTCATATGAGAGTCAAGGGGTAAGGTGTCTTTCACCTGAACTTGGGCGTGTCATATGCACCTCTCCGAAATATGTTTATTATTCTGATTCCCACCCTGGACTATGTGTTTGTGAAGTTGTTTCTGGACTTTGTCTGCAGGTAGCGCAGTGGACATCCTACTGAATCAACTACAGATAGAGATTATGACTAGTTGGAATTAATTTTGTTTGTTCAGGATACTCAGATGGTTCACTCTGTCTGAAATGACCTTCCCAGTACTGACGAGGGAGCGAGTACTCAGAAACCAATCTATCGGTGGTCGTCTCGACAAAATTAAATTAATTTTTGCTTTTCATGTATAGAAAGTTTCTTGCAAAGAATCTTCCAAATGGAAGACGTGGGACAGGTGCTTGATGGTTTTACTTCAGCTTTCTGTGCGGCATTAGCTGGGTTAGTTGTTGTCTTTCTGTCGGGTATCTGCCACACGTGTTATATTCTTGAATTTGGGCAGATACTAGAAAAGAAACTCAAAATCTCACTTCCAATGATGATTTGCAAGTTTTTAAATATTCTATAACTTCAAACATAAAATTTGATTATGTCCTGTGCGATTCCAAAACCTTTTTTGATTTTTCCTTTTTTTCTTTTTCTAGGCACTGGGACTTCAAAGTCTGAAAGCTGCAGAAGAAGCTAAGCAGAAGATAAAAGAAAAACCTTCAGGGTCCAAGAGTGAAAATTATACAGGCACTCTGAAAACTGTGATCAAAATTAATCGTGATAAGAAAAAGGGGCGTAGTACAATTAAAATGACTTTACAAAAGAATAAATCAAAGAACTCTAGTGTAGAAGAAGAAGCGACTGTTTCTGAAGAGAATTACAAAATCTTGAAAGAGGTAAGCTGAGCTTATTTTTATAAAGAAACTGATAAATCATATGAATTTTCATAAAAAACTCATAAGATTCGACTTTTAGAAATGTTAAAATAAAGAACCTGCCTGACATTCATTTAGTGTATTCTTAGCAAAAACTTGTTGTATACGTTTTGATTAGGATTTATTGGTACAGGTTCTATTTGAACTAACAACAGACTTATGAGTATTCGTCCAATTTAAATTTGCTTACTTTTCGTTGCTAAAATATGAATTGATCTGTTTTTTTCTGTTCTATACATTAACATTGCTTGTTACACCTTTGAAAGTATCTTTCACACCAAGTACAGAGCCTTGTGGTATTCACACAGTATTTTGCCACATATGAAGAGTTTGTCAGTTCTCATCATTTGAATGATTTTGTATATGTAATTGAAACTATTCATACAATAATACACTGTGGTGAAATGAGAAATTATACATTTTTTTGTTTTTCAGGGAGCAACCTCGGCATTGAAGCAAACCCCTCATTCATCAGATACGGCTGGTGCGCAAAGAAAGTCTCATTATTCTAACAGATCTAACATGGGTAATTATACGGTTAAGGGTCTATCTCTACCTCTTTCCCTTTTTCTATCGCACCATTTTCACTTTTAACTTTACTACACCCTGTACTACTTCTTTGTTAGGCAGCGATGGCTCCATTGAAACAATTATCGATATTTCAATTTATAAACATATCTTAATTCTTCTATGGCCCAGTTGTACAATCGAAGCTCAAGTTGAAGCTCTGTTAGACCTCGCTTAACTCAGAACTCTGTTGAAATATTGTGAGTAGTTGTATAATCAATTCTTAAACTGAGTTTGACAAAATAAAATTCAATAGCCTACTTATTCGGTAAAAATAAAAAATGATAATTTAACAAATGACTTATGTTCAGAGGATTTCATCTATTCCTTCAGTAATGTGGCGGAAAATATCATTAAGTCCCTACCTTCTGCGTCAGACTTAGAATTATTAAATTTCAAAAATTTTCCAGCACCTTCTTCCTCCTTTTTCATGAAACCTGTTGAACCAGCTGATGTTAAAGAGGCCATCACTTTATTAAAAAACTCCACCTGTCCTGATGTTCATGATTTAAACAGCCGAATTATTAAAGCAGTGAGTGACATAATTGTTGAGCCTTTGACTGATCTAATCAATTTGATGTTTGTAACAGGAAAATTCCCTGATATTTTCAAATTTTCTAAAAAAATCCCTGTATTCAAAAAGGGCGACAGAACACAAACTGTTAATTATCGACCCATCTCAATTATTTGCATTTTTTCAAAAATAATTGAAATAATAATGAAAAAAAGATTGACCAAATACTTTGAGGACAATAAGTACATTAATGAATCACAATTTGACTTTCGCTTAAATCGCTCAACTACTAGTGCAGCTACAAGGGTTGTCGAGAGGCTGATTGAGGGTCTTGAACAAGGTCACCATATTACTCTCTGTGACTTGTCTAGGGCCTTTGATTGTGTTTCCCATGATATACTTGCAGAGAAACTAAATTATTATGGGATTAGAGGGGTAGCTCTCTCTCTTCTTGACTCATTTATCTAATCGATCTCAAGCAGTATTTTATAACAACAGTTTGTCCAGTTTTAGGGATGTGAAATTTGGTGTCTCACAGGGTTCCGCATTGGGCCCACTGTTGTTCATCATATATATAAATGACCTGAGTCCATTCTTATCTCCATATGCAAGTGTTCTATTTGCTGATGACAAAACACTGATATATTCACATAAAGATTACAGCTCCATGATCTCTTTAGCTGCAGATGCCAAGGGGAAAGCCGAAAGGTGGTTCACCGCAAACAGGCTGAAACTAAACAGTGATAAATCACAGAACTTAATAGTTACCACTAATACATCTCTACTAGTGGAAAATAATTTAAAACTGCTAGGATTTATTTTGGATGAAAGACTCAGTCGGTCAAATCATATTAAGCAGTTGAACTTGAAACTGTCCAGCTCACTTTTCAACTTACGACAACTTCGCCTTATTACCAACACCAATACTCTTAGAATCGCTTACTTCTCTCTATTTGAAACCCATCTTAATTATAGAATATTGCTTTGGGGTAGCTCATCTGCTGCATGTAGTGTATTTCGACAGAAAAAAAAGCTATAAGGATCTTGGCTAATACCAAGTATAGAGAGACTGCCCGACCACTGTTCAAAAAGTTAAAGATCATGACTCTTCCTTGCCTATTCATTTTAAGTACTCTTGTGGAGATCCATAAGAATCTACCAAACTTAGTTACACAGTCTGATATTCATCAACATAATACTAGAGGAACAAACAATATCAGAATACCCAGATATAGACTTACCAAATCGGCAAATAATTCTCTAAATTTTAGCTTATATAATATCCTTCCAGATGATCTAAAAAAGGCCAACATGTTCTGTTTCAAAAAAATTATCAAACTTTTCTTAGTTGAAAATTTCTTTTATACACTAGACGAATATGAAGAAAAAGTGAAACAAGGTGGAATAATTTGATTTATGCTCACTGAGACATTATCTTTAAATTATTTACTCTTATATGTATATTCTGTTTATATTCTTAAAGTTTTTATCCAATGAACAAACTTTTGTGACTTGCTACAAATATGCAACTGTATATAAAGTGGTTAAATAAAGTACTCACTTACTTACTTACTATTTCTCTAAGCAGTGGAGTAATGAATCATTCTCAAGTGATTGTTCAATAGGAATATATGATTGAATCCGTTAAATCGTGAAAATGTATTATTTACTTCAAACATTCAATTTTTTTTAGTAAAAGGTTTCGTTACAGGAAGAAACACTGCATTTGAAATGAAAGGTATCAAAATATTCTTCAGGGAGTCTTTGAAAAATGTCAATTTTGAATGTAGCCCACTGCAGGGAGAAAACGACCAGAACGCTTGTAAAATCTTATTTTGCTATATAAAAGTAGGGTGGACCTTGTAAAGTACTATAAACCCAGCGATGTGACAAATCATAACTATTAGGAGACAAAGTATAACTTTACTTCTTAGGTCCTATTTATTTAGTTGCAGAAATTCTGCAATGTTCTCAATGAGAGCTTGTAACTATTATGTCTTCTTGAACTCCTTCTGATACGATATTAAAAGTATTTTCAGTACTACTAAAAATGCCCCCTCTTGTTCGGGGGTTTTTTCAGTAGTTCCCCCCCCCCTCTTGTACTCAGCTCTACCGAGGGTGTTAGGAAATTACTTTTGGGAATTCTGAGGATACTATAAAAAACTGGGAATTTTATCCCATTTCAGTCACAGGTATTTTTTTATATTTCTGACTTATTATCCGGCAACCACTCTTGTAACATTCCTTATTGAATAATGAACTGTACTTTCATCAACACTGGAAACATAACCTGCTGCTGGGAAAAGAATTCCAATTGCATAGAACGGATGTTGAAATAGAATCATTCCTTAAGAAGCAAAATACCCCTTAGTATATTTTTGCAGACATTTCTTCAGCATTTCTAAAGACAGTTATGATTTCCAAACAAAGTCTTCATCATCAGTGACTTGTAATGAACTCGTTCAAAAACAAAAATGCTAAAAGTATTCAAATATATATTTCTGTTATGATTTATGTTATGATGTTCTGTAGTGATAGTTATGATTTCAAAACAGAGTGTTCATCATCAGTAATTTGTAATAAACTTATATCTCGTTCAAAAACGAAAATGCCAAAGTATTCAAATGAGTTAGTGATTGTTTCAGTTGAATTAAGCTTGGTTTAACCTCAAAAATCGATTGGCGAATACATCTCTGCTTATGTGGTGAAATGAACTTGAACAATATTTAAACTATGATTGTACAGCTGGGTCAAAGTAAATCAATAACTCCTGGAACTATATTTTGGGGTATTTTTAATCTTTGAATTTGTAAAAATGTTTTTCCCAAAATGACTGGGTGTAAAATTATATGAGGTTGATTTTTTTATGAAACTGGAATTGTACTTTCGAGAACAGGAAAACGTGTCTTCCTATATTGAAGGCTATGATTCAAGTATTACTGTTGTTGAAAATGTAAAAACTTCTACTATTCATTTTATTATCTTTTTTGTTTCAATGTCTATCTCTTGGGTTTTTTAATGTAAAATCATTGAAATCAGATGACTAGTAAGAAGTACTGATAATTAAATATATTTTCAGTTTCAAAAAAAAGGTTCATCGAAGAATAGCTTGACACCAAGTCTCAAATTTTTATTTTGCAGCCATATTTAAAAATTCATTTTGGAATAAAGGCTTTTTTGGAAAATAATACACAATGATTACATTTCTTTCACTAGTTTTCAATCTTTTATTGAAAAACTTGAGATTGACTAAGAGGAAATATTGTATTTCAAATATGTCAAATTCTTTTCACTTCTTTCTTTCATTTCGGCTCTCTTAGGCTCATCTAGTTGATATCTATCAGGTAATACATACAGTGACCGACAAAGAAGACACTTCACCTAGTGGAAAAACTTATTGAATGACATGAAAAATAACATTATAAACTCGCTATATTTTATGATGTATGAGGTCTGTTAGAAAAGTAAGGTGAATTATATAAAGCCCTAATTAGGTTAAATTAGGTCAGTATCGACACGCCTGAGGAAGTTGTTGTAAAGCGAAACACCTGTTGCGTTTTTGTAAACTGTCCGGTAACAGTTTACAAAGGAAAACATCCAAGGGCAATTTACTTTATTTGCTGATGATACCACAATTTTATGGCATGCCCCTAACAACCATACGTCGTATAAGTTATTGAGAATGGCATCACGAAGGTTAAAGATTGGTTTGACTCAAATCTCTTGAGCTTGAATTTATCAAAAACAAAAGTAGTGTCATATCGTTGCCAGATTCCAGCCATACATCTAAATAATATTCAAATTGAGAACGTACCAAGTTCTAAATTCCTTGGCTTGTTCACTGACAACAATTTAAAATTCAACAAACAAGTAGATAGTTCGAAATCCAAGCTCTTCTCTGGATGTTATGCGATACGAGTAATGGCATTTGAGCTCGGATCTGCAGTAGCTAAAATGGTTTATCATTCCCTTTTTGAACCCCATTTTCGTTATGGTATTTCCTTTTGGGGTGTGTGTTCTACCACATGCCTTCAATCAGTATTACTAGGGACTCTTGTCGGCCTCTTTTTGCCTCTAACTATGGTCTCCTTATTTATATATAATGCAATCTGTCATCTCTTTAAAAATAGGAACTTGTTTACCAACTTGGACGAGCCAATGTATCAAACCAGGCAAAGATTCAGCTTCAAATTACCGCTGCCTTCTTCGACCCTAGTCGAAGATTCCATTATTTACAACGGTCTCAAAATGTTCAATCATCTTCCTTGAGCTTTGAGAACCATAAATGACTTTAGCGCTCTTGAGAAAGACTTGCTTTCTGTAAGACCCTAGCAAAATTCTACGATTTGAGTATGACTGTATCTGTAGAGTATGGAGGAGTTGTCCTCCTAGGTCATCGTCCATTCTGTCCTTTCCACGAAGGTGGACAGGTCACTAGGAGACATCTTTATATCGGCAGGTGAAGACCAGCACTCGCCGATCACACACTCTCTTTGGCAACCATGAGGTGTCAAACGGCGCCCTTCGTGAAGGTTTTGGAAGATGCGGCAACATTACTGTCGTTGCGCGGCTTCGTCAACCTTCTTGGGGTTACCTCCGTGGAGGTGCTCAAGTAAGGGCGCTTTCCTGCAGAAGCAGCCAGTTCCTTGCCTATTTATTCAAGGCGGAGCTCTTGACGCCCGCCGCAGGAAGTGCCCTTGCTGTTGGTGGGGGAGGAGGGTGCACTTATAGTTGCTGCCACTCCTGCCTCTATCGCTCTCTTTCTCCTTTTGGCCTCCTCGGCGCCGCAAATGCGCTTATGCCTTGGCCTTTGTATTATATCACGAGGTGATCTGCCATGTCCAGCCTCATTCCGAGAAGTAAATTGTGGTGGACATTTCTGTTAACCCCCAGCCACCGCCATAAATTATCCAGCCTCGGGATTGGTTTTTGTTTTTTCTGTGTCTGTTTTTGTGTTTCTTTCATTCATGTGTGTTCCCACGAGTAGCAGGGGAAGAGTTGGTCACTCTGGCAGAGCCCGCATTACTAGAGGAAAGCTGATTACAATGAAGTTTTCGCCCGGATCCCCAAGGGGATCGTTCGTAACCGCATATCACCCTGCGGCCATTCAGCTGTTGGCACGATTCCTTACACCTTAACTTGGGTAGGCTATTCCACGGTGGCATGTTTCGCAAAGGCTTTTGGGGAGTTTTGGTTCCCCCCACCCTACTTATTTCTGCCACTGAGCAGGAGTTGGCGACCCCGTCCGTAAGGCCACATTGGCTTCCCGGACAGGGCTCCTAGTCCCCTGGCCGTTCCCCTTTTGCCACGCGCCCGATAGGTAGCCCAACCTACGGGTTGGGTATGACTAACATATCTACGGTATTTCATTGATTTGATTCAATTCAGTTTAAAATGGATTTATTTCATTTTATTGACCTTGTTCTTATATCCTGAACGTTTGTATTAAGTTATTATTATTAACATGTCTCTTTTCAGTTCATGTTATCACCTACTTTTAGTAATATATTTCGCACAAGGCTTTGTCAATAAGAATTCATTTTTCAGACAATAAAGTATATAAATCTAAAGAAATGAACTTTAAACGTTCAAGCCAGTCTCGATATACCTACACAGTAGGTTGAATGGATTGACGCCTATCAGAAAACAACTAATTCCCTGGCTAATACCACGAAGGGCGTTGGATTATATCCGACAGGCGTCAGTGCAAGAATCTTCACAGAAAATTTCCTGCATATGCAATTGGCAATACAACTGAAAGAGTTGACCTTCAATTTTGGAAGGGGCACACTTGCAGACCGGTTTCGGGCTCATTAGCGTCAGTCCATTCAACCTACTGTGTAGGTATATCGAGACTGGCTTGAACGTTTAAAGTTCATTTCTTTAGATTTGTTTTTTGCCAGTCTTCAAGAATAGCCCACTGACTAATAAGAAAAAAATAAAGTATATTTTGAATTGAATTGAATACAAGAAAAGGTGTCGTCTATCTTTGATAAGGCATAAAATGTGTGTAAAATTATGGAAATTTGTTTGGTAAATGTGTTTTATTCACGTTGTTTTACATGTTAAATGTTTTTAGAGCTTTAGTTGTCACTCTTGAAGGGATTCCCACTAATCAAAATACTTGCCAAAATACAAGCACCATGGTATTTGTCCGTTAGGTTGTGGTAAATTGACATATGAGAACGTATCTGTTGAAAACATTTTTTCAACACCAGAACAAAAATTGCGGTCTCGACGCGCGTTTTACTAACCAAGTTAGCGTCCTTAGGAGATCAGTATAAATAAATTTTACTGGTACTGTGTTGGGAAAATGTTTTCAAGGTTCCAGTACGAACTATCAAGATATGAGAATCTATTTTCTTCCACAGATGGCAGCAGTGAACACACTTCTGATGGGGAAGCCGCTGCTCAGGATGGAGCAATCAAAGCGCTGGTTATTCCAGAGAAAGCCAGCTCATTCAGCATTCACCCAGGAAGGCTGTGCAAAGACGAGTGTTCATATTGTTTCGGCAAATTCGGACTTTTTGATACTCCTTGTCATATCGCTACAATCAAAAGTATTGAGAGGCAGAATAGGATTCTAGGCAGTGAGTGTATTTCAGATATTTGGTGATATTAGTCGAAAAAGTGATTATTATGAATCATAAATTACAAATATTCAATAACTTTTCCAAATATTATGGAAATCAGTCCAAAAAGTTAGTTTCTCACTTGTTTTTTTCTTGACAATGTTAACTAATGATTCTATGAACTACAACTCACAATTTGATCTCCAAAAACTTTAAATCTGTTCAAAATCTGTTTTTCCGTTAACCAGTTGTCGCACCTCTACGAACGACAACCCTCAGAAGTCGAAACTTGTGCGAGCTAAGGATTTACGAGGTCTTACCTTTTAACGTGTGATTCCTAACACGGGTTGGACGATAACAAGTGAAAATTGATTGTTCAGGCTGGGGCTTGAACCACCGACCAACGCGGCAGTCAATTCGAGTGAGTGAGCAAAGCACCCACGTCGAACCGCCTGGCTACCGTTTGTTTTATTTGAAAAATATTATCATGACATGTTTTGCTACATTACAAGTACTAAGAGACAATTAGATACTTTTCATAAGGATATTAACAAAAGTATGAAAACATTAAATTCACTATTGAAGTAGAAGAAGAATCAATTTCTTGGACTTAACAAGTAGCATGAACAACAAACATGATTTTTCAATTTATCACAAACCGTCCTATACGGATATACATTATGATTCTACCCATCCATATCAACACAAAGTAGTAGCATCTTATAATAGCATGATTCACAGATTAGTCAATGTTCCTCTTTGAATAGATAATTTCAATAGAGAACTTGATATCATCAAGCAAATTGCAGTAAACATTGGGTTTAAAGCCGAATCAATGAAAAAAATAGTTTCCAAAAAAGTCTACGCAAAAGCGATTCAAGGCGTTTTTCCTATTGATAAGTTAGATAATCAAAATTATAGAGCTTTAACGTATTTTGGACAAACAACGGAAAAAGTGGCTTCATTTTTGAGGAAACGAGATATTAAAATTGCATATAGAACAAGTAATACTTTGGGAAAATTGGTTAAAAATAATAGACAACACTTTCAAATTCGAGATATCAAAAGTATATAAATTAAAGTGTGGAACGTTTCCTAAAGTATATATTGGTCAAACTAGCAGAACATTTAGGAATCGAATCCAGGAACATCATATGAGCTATGTAAATAAGAAAACAAGTTCAACATATTGAAATCATCTTTAAGAAGAAAATCATATCTTTAAAGAAGAGTTCGAAATTTCACACATAGAAAATAAAGGTTTGAAACTGAATCATTTGGAACCAATGGAAATTAATAAACTTAAAAATTCAATAGATCACCATTATTGAACTTGTTTTCTTAAAAAAAAAACGAGGAAATATTATTATTGATCTAGAAGTGAGTTAATATGCTTCAGGTGATCATAAAATTGAAGAGGTACCTCAGGTGTATGAGAATTGTAGAGGTTTAGATAATTTGATGGAGGTAGTCCAAATTGTAGTTACCTGTGGTTTATAAATATTAGCGTAAGAAGCAACTTGTACTATTAAAATCACTGTTGAATAAGCTACTGTGTTAGCCAAACATGTCTTGATATATTTTTCAAATGAAGTTTGTGGAGACCAAATCGTGAGTTGTAGTTTATGAATCAATCAATCATTCAGAAAACTAATGATTCTACGAAAGTTTCAAAATATCGATATTTTTCAGCGGAAAAACATCTCACGACTGATTCCTGCCTGTGTGATGCTTGCTATAGGCACGTAGATAGAAAATCTAACACTCCTTCTTATGTTAACAAATCCTTAAAAAGAAATGCCTTGGTTGCACCGGGTCCAAGAAAAAACCACTGCCATGTTTTGGGTTGTAGAAAGGAGGCCACAAATATACTCAGGAGGAAATGGATCATCAAAATGAGAAAAAGTATTTGTCAAGTGGTGAGTTTTTATTATTCAAAATAGTGATTTATTTAGAAATCTCTTGAAGATCGGAATATGTCAACTTTCATAGTTAGCGATAATTTTGTTGAAGTTATTTTCTGGGTTTGTCTTTTTGTTGTCGGTGGTCTGCAGCTTTCATCTACAACTGCGGTAGATATTATCAAAAGCAGTAACGTAGTGTTCTATTTGTCTTTGCAGGGTTCAGAACTCCAGTTTTATATCATTTGTTGTAGGGGAGGTGACTTTTCAAGGTAGATTCCCACCAAATGTACCAAAGTTGGTAGACAAGAGCAATTTTTTTAATAAAATTCTAGTGAAAGAATCAACAGGTCTTCTTAATACAGATTTTCACCTTTGTGGAGGTGTGCATTGGAATATTGTGCTAAAAAAACTATTGAATATATTCATATGGGGTTTCGAGGCAAGGGATATCAATGATGGCATAAGCAAGTATAACACTTCTGGGTAAACAGTTTTGGAGCAATACTAATTTTTTTCTTTGAATTTTCTTCTGAAGGTAGTATGTTTTATCTCACTTTTTCATATATTTAAATGTGATTCCATTGTCTAAAGTGTTCACAGATTTGAAATCTATGAAGAAAAAAAAATTAAAGAAAGTTTGAAAATGCTAAAAGTAACAGGAATTCAATTTATGGGTGAGTTGGAACAAAAATGCAATTAAAATGAAATTTGAGAATAATGATTTGTTAAGAAAACAAATTGGTGGCCTGATAATGAGTTTAATTCGTGTGTTGAACAATAAGTAAAATAACAAATATATGCAAATAAAAGGAATAAAAGAAGTAAAAAATAATATAGAAATAAAATACTGAAGATAAATGAAATATAAAACAAAGAAAAAAATCTAAACCAAGCTACTTCACTTGCTAACGATTATTACAGTATGTCACTTGATTGAGCTGAACAAATTGTGATACATCGAAATAAAGAATATGAAGTTGGTAGAACTCCCGTAGAATAAATGCATTTTTTTATTTACTCCATTGTAGAAACGAAATGAAAATGACATGTTCAAAATCCTACTTTCAAATACGCAGCACAAATATTAAAGGATATCATAAAAATTAAACTAGCATGTACACTCCCAGAACAAATTGTCACAACACCAGACAGAACCATATGCTTTACTTACCTATTCCAAAATTCACCTTGACTCAGCATTCTCTGATTTATGAAAGTATTAAAGTATATAATCACCTTCCTACCATTCTAAAAAATAGCATAGATATCAAAAAGTTCCAAAGTACAGTTAAAGGTATTTTAATCAAAAAAGCTAATTATTCGATCCATGAATTCCACCATGATAACCTGTAATGTTCATCTGTCTTCTGAATGTTTCATTTGTGAAATTGCTATGTTTGTACTTTTTGTATTTCATGTCATGTATTATATTTTGTATTTTTTATATTTTATGACATTCATTTAATTTTTTTACAAGACTTTGTCAATAAGATACTAATCTTCAGACAATAAAGCATATATTGATTGATTGATAAAAATGTTTTTGGGGAAGAAATTCCAAAAAGTTGATGCTTTTTTACATTCCTTTAAATCCAAATTTTGTAAATCAAGCAACCTAAAGGTATGATTTCATTTCATTCTGATAGTCTACAGTAAGAATAATATTAAAAAAGGTATAAAAAGGGCTTCGCTTAGCAAAAACACTGCACTGAAATATACCGAAGTTTTTGTTCAATCTGATGTTAAATTATACTCCAAGAAAACCCTGAAGAATATTAAAGTGTTTTTCATCCTCAATTATCTAGCTTCATAGAACTAATGAGAATATGATAACATATTCTTACTGAAACATCTCTCATTTTTTATTAGGTTCTACAATATGAATCCATCATTGCAAAATCAAGTTTCTATATCGTTTTTATCCAAGATAAGACCACTCTGAGTTGCATTTTCAATTCAATTGATTCATAAGGAAATTGATGTCACCATCATGCAATAATAGAATTGTAGGGAAATTCTTCATGTATCTGCAGCATGGAACCTGTGTTTTTGAAAACCGATATTTTCAACACCTCGAAACCTGTTTCGATCACCAGGTGATCATCTTCAAGGGGAAGATTAAACTTCTTACAGTTCGTCAAATGTAGGAAGAGCTTTCTGAATTCCGTTATGGTCCCGCCCACTAGATGTGCGTTCGTTGGAAGACTATGAGAGCGAGAGAGAGAGAGAATTCTCAAGTCTCTTTCTAGATTTGACAAGCTGTAACTTAATCTTCCTCTTGAAGATGTAGTTTCATCCCAACACCAATCCGTTATTTTTAACACCTCGACCCGTGAAGATTAATTTAGGAAGTTTAATCTTCCTCTTGAAGATGATCGCTTGGTGATTGAAACTCGGGTCGAGGTGTTAAAAATAATGGTTTGGTGTTGGGATAAGACTCCAATAATACTCAACTTTTCGCATAAACCATGAGAATACTGGATATCTTGTTTTTTTGCAGATCAACATAGACTTTGACAATCCAGGTCTGCATTCCATACCAATTTGTGATGAACACTACACTGCCTTGGAACACCTCATGATATGTTCCATGTGCAAAAGAAGACTGGCCAGAAATCACATCCACTATTTGGGACCTGAAACGATTGATCTCAACAAAGCCCTCGACGCTGAGGGTATTCCTCTGGCGCTCACAGACAAACCTGTCGTGTGCAAGTTGTGCAAATGTTTTGCTTCCATTCTTCTCAAAGGTTCAGAGGAAAGACCTGAAGCGAGTGATAATTTCTTCAAGGAATATAAGAGAAGGTGAGTTTTGTCAAGAATAAGGCTACTGTGAGTAAAACATTCGTTGGCACTATTAAAGTCGGCAACTTCGATTTTTTTCATTAACATAATTCGCGGGAATTTGGACTTTGCCATTTTTATTTTTATTCTTTATTAACCAGTTGGGTACAAATTGTACATATGGCAAGTAATAATTTTTACAGTAAACAATACATCCACAATACCTATATTATATACATCATATTCTTTACAGTTAACAATAAAATAATTATGTATCAGACATACACGTATCAAATCCGCAATATAGAGACATTTAACAGTTACAATCATTCAGGAATTCTTCGCAACTGTAGTAACATTTGTCTAGTAAGAGATTTTTAATGCTCCTATAGAATAACTTGTCTTTTTTAATTTGTGTAATAACTGACAGCAGCTCATTGTAAAGGCTGACTGCATTATATAGTGGTGATTCTTTAAATTTGTAGGTTTTGTGTCTAGGCACCTTTAATAAATTTCCGTTACGCGTTGGATATTCATGACATGAGGTTTTTTCAAGCAGTGACTCGTTTTTTCTGGCATAGTTCACACATTTATATATGTATATGCAGAGAGCTGACAGAAGCCTTTCTCTAATGAATACTGGCCTACAGCTCTCTAATTAGTTAATGTCAAATATCAGTGCCACAAGTCGTTTCTGTAATACAAAGATCCTGGTGAAGTTTTTTGCACTTCCCCAGGACATTATATTGTAAGAAAGTGTGAATACACCATTGCATAGTAGACACTCAGCAGACTTGACCTGCTTATACATTGCCACATCTGTTTTATTGCAAAATATGCTTTAATTCACGGCATACACTATCAATATGTTCAATATATTGTTCATCTAAAATTGTACCCAAAAATTTAGCAACAGTTACAACATCAATATCAAGTGAGTCGCATATGTGATCTGAAATATTGCTCCTTCTGTTGTAGAATCTCATAGAAACAAATTTGGTAATGTTTAAGGTAAGGTGGTTAAGTTGACACCATTCTGAGAATTTTTCAATCACACAATTAATTTGTTCTATCAATATTTTGAGATCTCTTCCTGATACAGCGATAGTCGTATCATAAGCAAACATTGTGATAAGTGTGACAATTTGATAAGTGTTCCAGCAAATCATTGATAAAAATAAGAAATAATAGGGGTCTGAATACCGATCTCTGGGGAACACCCGAGTTTACGTTGAAAGATTTGGATAAAACATCATCATACTTCACAATCATGTTGCGATTTTTCATGTAGGACTATATCCACTTAACTAGGTTTTGTGGAACTTGGAACACCGTCAACTTCTCCATTAGCAATTCTGATGAGACCAAATCGAAAGCCTTGGTTAAGTCGAAAAAAATCGCGAATACAAAACGGCTAGAGTCGACTTCTGTGTAGATATAATTGATCAGATTTTGAGATGCTGTTTCTACTGAACGGTTTATCCTAAACCATGTTGATTTATGCAGAGTAAATTATTACTTTCCAAGTAATCTGTTAATCTGTTCCCCACGACTTTCTCAAGAAGTTTAGGTAGCGAACTTAACAGTGAGGTTTGCCTATAGTTATCGATATCACATCTATTTCCCTTTTTATATATCGGGGCCACTAGAGCTTTCTTAAATAGATCTGGGAAAAAACCTTGAATAAGGGATTGGTTGAATAGATAAGTAAGTGGATGGATTATTACGTCAATAATTGGTTTTTGTTTTGAATTAGACAGTATAGATATGAACACTCATTACTAACTGAAATGTTTTTTTTTTGTAACCAATTCAGAAATCATGCTCTTTATCGAACTTCACAAAATAGTCATTTTAAAATGTTTCTTTTGCAATTTCATGACCTTGAACCAAATATGCGTCAAGCTAGTACTAAAATGTTCTTGGTCTAATAAAAAACAATATCATTTCTGTTTAAAATCTGTTTTTCCGTTAATCAGCTGTCGCCCCCATACGAACGACAACTCTCAGAAGTTGAGAAACTTGTGCGAGCTAAGGACTAACGAGGTCTTACCTATTAACGTGTGATTCCTAACACGGTTGCAGAATCATACCAGCTTCAACCAGATAAATTATCTCTAGAAAAATATCTAGTCGAGGCGGGAATCGAACTCACGGCCTTCCGATCGTGAGTCGAGGGCACTATCATCGCAGCCAATTCCACAATTTAGGAATTTAGGTTTAATAATTTGTTTATTCCAACAGACATAGAAATTTTACATAAATATCAGATCGTTTCAAAAGTTTTATCCGTTTTTATGAATCTACTTTCAACTGTAACATATCACTAAATACTTATGCAATTTAATCAAAATAAATTCTATCTGAATAAGTACACTTTTGCCAACGTAACACAAGTCGATCAATTCCGTCAGCATAAAAATGTTGTGTTCGGTATTCGATGAAGTCAACGAAGGTCGTTTCTACTTGGTCCTGATTGGCGAAGGTTCTACTGATGAGAAAGTTATCGAAGTGATTGAAAAGATGGTAGTCGGTTGGCGAGTACATTTCGTCGGTTTCCCACGTGACCTTCGTGACCTCGTTAGTCCTTGGCTCGCACAAGTTTAACTGGAAAGCAAATTTCAACAAATTAACAGATTTTTCACGTGATCATATAGACTTTGTAATGATAAATAGAAGGGCTTTGATGGTATTCGAGAAAAAAGAGGACAAGAAGTCCATTTGCGGAAATCTTTGGGTCGTCTTCTTGATGATGGAATTATGAAATTTTTTGAAAAATCCTGCATGTTGCTGACGTTATACTGGTCATTGATTCAAAATCTACCCTAGCTTATCGTCATGCTTTTTTTGAATTTTCGTTGATTCTATTCATGCTAATTCAATAGTTTTTCTCTTTCTTTATGGTTTGTTTTAAATTAATTATATTTTCGTTCTTGCAGACTCCTGCATTTCAATGACATCGAACCGATGGACGAAGCCGCTGCAGAAGAGCCCATCGCTGTCCCCAGCAAAGCTGATCGTGTGGAGCATACCAAAAAGAAGAAGAAACTCGTCAAAAACCCGCTCGCTACAAAATCGGAAAGCGACTGTCCGGAAAGTCCTCAGAAAATTCAAGAGAGGGTACCTTCGACAGACACCAGCAGTCAGCCCCAGTCCCGTTCTGAGTCCCCGAGCGATGAATACAATGGAGTTGATTATAATACTCTCATACCTGCGATCGCAATGGATTGTCCAAGCGATACGGAGGTCAAAAAGGAAGCTCCCGTGCAGCCTGTCATCATCAGGAAGATCGGACCGAAGTTTGAATCTGTAAGTCTGCTTTTACTGTTTTTGAATCACTCATCAAAAAATTATTTGAGTTTCTATAAACGTGGTACAACTAACTTGATAGGTAGAATTTGGAACCTATGTGCGTTTCTCTAAACAAGTTAGCATCATCAGGAGATAACTAAGAATCAGTCATTAGACAGTATTTTTGATGGTGGAAAAAGTGTTTTCAATAAATGCTACTACTAAAAACCAGTGTAACAAGCACTGCTCCCAAACACCAAAACTACAACACACTTCTCAACGCGCGTTTCACCAACCATGTTGGCGTCATCAGGAGATGAACTAGCCTTTTCTATAGTGCGTCTCTTGATGACGCATCCTTGATTGAAGAAACGCATGTCGAGAAGAGTGTTGCAGTTCTCTAGCTGTTTAGTTCATCCCTTGATGATACTAACTTGTACGAAAGTAAGAGTTGTGCAAACAGGTGTCATCTACCTTGAGGATCACAAACATTATGTGAGAACCTGCAATTCTATTTCTAGCACATTGGATGTAGTACAGAAGTACATCAAGGTTCTATTTTGGGGTCACTACTATTTTTTATATATATATCAATGACCTTACCAGTCTAAACATCACAGGATCATTCGTGTTTTTGCAGATTCTACTACATTATTGTGGCATAAAGATCGGCACATAAATATTTCCCCTGATCTTGTGCAAATTAAAAATTGGATTGGTGCAAATTTTTTGTCTTTCAATTTAAAAACAACATACCTTTCAAACTTTAAATGCACCTCAGCTCAATTGATGGTGGGAAATGATGCTACACTTACAATAATATCAATAACAAGTTCTTAGGCATTAACATAGACAAACACCTAAAATTTGAAGAACATGTAAGAGCACTTCACTAGAAATTATCATTGGGTTGCTTCGCAATAAGAATACTGTCACACAAGTTGGGATTTCATGTGGGTAAAATTGTTTGTTATGCCACTCAAGGTATGGAATAGCATTTTGGGGCGTATCTCCCCTTACAAAGACGCCATCTGTGGAATTGACAAGGAACTCAGCCTCGAATATCGAAGACAAACAAGGCTCCAATCTTTGATATTCGAGAATTGAGTTCTCTGGCGATCCCTTAGATGGCGCCGTCGAAAGAGATGTAATCGCGGGTGGAAACAGCGCTGTCTAGGATCACCCTTCGGCCTGACGGTAGCCAGTTAGGTTGACGATTGAGTTCTTATTCGTTCCTATAGATGGCGTCTTCGTAAGGTGTGATGTCACCACAGTTACTTGAAATACTGTCTCTTGACAATTTTTAGCCAAGAGATCATCATCAAGTTATCTCGTTTTCCTGAGAAACACTGTTTTTAATAGATGAGTTTTAAACCAGAGGTTTCAATTCTACCCATCAAGTCAAACCTAGCTTGTCTAAAGAAAAAATCGCTTACTAATCTTTCTCCAAAACCATACAATCTGGTGTTGGATCAGAAATACTTTGTTTTTGGATTCTAGTTTCACCTACTAACTAATAGTATATTCCAGATACATCTATCAGGAATATACGAACTAAATCAGATAGTAAAATAAAATCCTGTCTGCTGTTTCCACGAATTTTTGTGTAACTAGTGTATATTCCAAAGAGCTGTTTATTGTTTGAGTAACACCATCGCTATAGATAGAATTAAATTTTTTTTTTCAATCCATTTTATAGTCACTTCATTGACAATTCACAAGAATTACCGAATCACACTAATTGAAAAATCATGTAAAATTGAATAAGCGTGAGATTCATGTCTAAATTTATGTCAACAATCATAAAACTCATTCATTCATTGGTCAAAATTTGTCCCTAGTATAAACTTGAAATAGCTTACATAACTGTCAAAGAGCATAAAAAGGATTATTTGTTCCAGTTGAGAGACGCAGTGGAAATTACCAAAGTTACAAAAGTGGACAAGAACAAAAACAGCGACATCGCCGTTCAAAAACTAGGAGCTAATCCATCCATATCAGTCAGGCAACTATTCCCGGGCGAAGAAGAACTCCCGCTCAATGCCAGTATAGACTTCAACAACGTCAAAGAACGCACGCCGGAAGGATGGGAGAAGTGCTCTTCTGTTATTCAGTACGACCAAGAGACGAAACGGCTTTGGCGTGAACTGCAGAAGCCCTACGGCAATCAGAGCAGCTTCCTAAGGCATCTAATCCTCCTAGAGAAATACTTCCGGAACGGCGATTTGGTGCTGTCGGCTAGAGCAAGCCACCACTCGATCAACTACAGCGAGTCGGTGCATAACAGACTGAGGGCTTACGATAATATTCCTTCTACTGCAGGAAATATCCAGCCGTTGAGCATGCTCCCTTTTAATAAGATGCAGAAGAGCAGTAGCGGGATTATCACAAGCGCCAACATCACTAAAGGTAAGATTTTTTTTCGATCTGTCTCCCAATATTTGGCAACTGAGGCCTAAATGTATAAGAAAGTATCTGAAAATTCAAACGTAATTTAAACACACACCATAATGAAAAGTATACCCAAAAATAATATCATCCACTGAATCAGAAAATTAGAAACCATTTTTTAAAAACTATAATCGAACAATCTGAAATTCCACTTATTTTGGCCCTCAAACGATTTAAACACTTATATTACATAGAAAACATAAACATTTGAAAAATAAGAGTTCATTTGAAATAGATTTGTTAAAAATTATGTAATTATGCTCACTGCAATACTGATAGAGATGCAGAACATCGGATATAAATTCCTCAATGCTATAATATGCTTTCAGTACAAGTAATTGTTTGATATCACTTTGTAGTTCAACTGAGTCTTTCTTATTAGTCAGTGGGCTATGCTTGAAGACAGGCAGTAAACAAATCTAAAGAAATGAACTTTAAATGTTCAAGCCAGTCTCGGATATACCTACACAGTAGGTTGAATGGACTGACGCCTATCAGAAAACTCCACTGGCTAATACCACGAAGGGCGTTGGATTATATCCGACAGGCGTCAGTGCAGGAATCTTCACAGAAAATTTTCTGCACATGCAATTGGCATTACAACTGAAAGAGTCGACCTTCAATTTTGGAGTGGACAAACTTGCAGACCAGTTTCGGGCTCCTTAGCCACTTGTCGGTGCAAGATATTGACCATCATCGAACTAAAGTCAATATTAAAATCCAAACTCTTTCAGAGTATTTCATTTCTCGTCCTAACTGAGTCTAAATTATACCTGAATTATGTTGAAAAGAATTGGACCATAGTAGTTCTCATAATTTCTAGTTTTTTCAACATATGGAACTGTACATTCAAATCATTTTTATGGTGGTGTGAATGAATAGCAGATGTAATACACATTTCTAGATTTGTCTTGACAAATTCCAGACACTCTCAAATATACTTGTGATGCCTTGTTTGAAACCTTTGGTGTAGTAATGAATATTACTGGAGTTTTTTCGCAACACCAAACCGTTATTTAAACACCTCGACACGTGTTTCGATCACCAAGTGATCATCTTCAAGAGAAAACTCCAGTAATATTCATACAGTAACTAGCTGAAAAAATGGCAAAAATCAAAATTTGGAAAAAATCAACAGCATCAATGTATAGAGTACAAAATTCTGTATCGATCAATATACACCATAGAAGAATAAATACTTATCGAGAAATGAAGCTACAAAAACAAATGACATTACAAGTGGTTATGTGACAACGGCCTCAAGTTAAATGTTAATAAAACAAAATGCATATCAATAGGTAGCACATATCGTTTGAGACAACTGCAAGATGAACAGCTGTCATTGAATCTTTATATTGATAATGTCATTATTGAAAGGGTAACAACTTTTAAATATCTGGGAGTGGTATTAGATCAAGAATTGAACCTTAATGCGCACTGTAGTTACATTTAGAAGAAAATAGCCACGAAAATTCATCTTTTATATAGATTGAAAAATAAAATAAGTGAATATGCAAAATTAACAATTTATAAATCAATAATAGCACTCCACTTTGACTATTGCAGTACATTACTCTATCTTGTGAGCAATGAAAATCTAAACAGATTACAGAAGCTTCAAAACAGATCCATAAGGGCAATATTAAGTTGTAATAAACACACATCTGTGGAATGCATGTTGGAAACACTGTCTCTTATATCTGCTAAACAAAGGATAACAATGAATATGCTAATATTTGTATTTAAAATTAAACACAATATGTTGCCAAATTATCTGAGTGATCAGTTAACCTACACAAGTAGTATTCATACACACTCCACTAGAAATAGAATAGGAAATTTTAAGTGACTGACTGTACTATGAAGAGCATTATGTGCTAATAAAGAGTAATAATATATTAAAATAGACAAAACTTCTGAAACAACCTAATAAAGTATTAGATGCACTGCTCCCAAACACAGAACTACAATACACTTCTCGACCAGTTTTGAAAGAAACAAAAAATTTTTGGGAATCTTCACAGACCTAAGTGCAGCTTTTGATTGTGTTGATCATGATATACTACTGAGGAAAATGAAGTACTACGGAATAAGAGGAGTGGCACTGAAACTAATCAAATCCTACTTGTCCAATCGATTTCAAGTAGTTTGTATTGAAAATCAGAGAAGCACTCCTCAGAAAATAAGTAGAGGAGTCCCTCAGGGATTAATATTGGCCCCCCTTCTCTTTATTATTTATATTAACGATTTGCTAAATATGCTCACCTCAAATATCTAGACAATTATGTATGCCACATTTGGCATCAGTATCAATAAAAGGGAGTGTCCGGCTACAAACCTTGGGGAAGTTATGGAACAAGCAAAAACCTGGTTCTTGACAAACAAGCTCATACTCAATGAAAAAAAAAAGTCTCATTTTCGAATCTAGAATATCCTACAATGTAGAAAACGACCTAGACATGCTGCACACTAAATTTCTGGGTATCAGGCTACTATGAAACATACATATATATACAATTTGCAATAGACTAAATAGTGAAGTATTTGCCATAAGAAAAGTTAAACAACATATTAACCAATCCGCTGCAATAACTACTTATTATGCACTGTTCAAATCCATTATTAGATATGGCTTGTCTGTCTGGAGCTCGACAGCTCAGTTTCATTTGAATGTTATATTCGTCATTCAGAAGAGGGCGGTAAGATCTATTATAGGAGCTAATTTTGAAGACTCCTGCAAACCAATCTTCAAAATGTTGAGAATAATCGACACTTTTCTCTCTGATAATTTTTGAAAAGTTACTATATGTCAAACAAAACATTAATAGTTATTCTGTTGTGTCCGATATACACGGTCACAATACTAGAAATAAAGATAATTGATTATACCTCAAATCCGGTTACAAAGAATGGACAATACTATTGATATTAAAATGTACAATACTCTAAATCTCACAGTATGTTCTCTGAACTTTACTAAATTCAAAAAACATTTAAAGACATTACTTACGGAAAATCCCCTATATGGTATTAACGACTTTTTCCATTCATTCTCTGGATCACAGAGCAAAGATGCTTTACACGATCGTATGTATGTACAGTATTATTATTTTTATTGCACAGTTAAGTATCTTCTGAAGATTTTATATTTTACTTTTTGAGCATATGTTAATTTTATCGTATTTTGTGACATGTTCTAAAGCTGTAGCTTTGTTATGAACCAAATAAAAATTTGAATTTGACGTGCGTTTCACCTACCAGTTTGGCATCATCAGGAGATGAACTAGATTCTTTTAGTGCGTCTCTTGGTGATACGCGTGTCGAGAAGAGAAGGGGAAAAGTGCTTGTTTCTATATATAGACTACTTTCAGTATAAATGCTAATCTCAGTTTTCATTGTGTCAGTTCCAGGTCTCAGCAGCTCAATATCTATAAGCCACCCTCCCTCCAGCACCATAACTTCATCCAACTGCAAACCAGTTAGCAACATGGCAATGTCGATTACCACTGTACCAAGTACCAGCATTGTAACCAACAACAGCTTACCGAAGAGCACCCCTCTGACTATATCTCAGCTGAACAGCCCCCCTCTATTACCCGCAAATGCGACGATGCTCCAACAAATCAGGCCGAAAATGGTGGGAGCTCCTCCGGGACTTATATCTCTCCATCCAGGTACTAGTAGACCTGTAGCCCCTTTGGTGAAGGTGCCCCAGCCGCAAAAAATTAAATTCCCCATTACTAAGAACTGGAGGCCCAACTTGATGCCGATTGACCCAAATAAGAAACAGGAAAAGAAAGCTGGATTGGTTCAGGTTAGTTCACCTTAATTAAACCACCGTTTTCACTTTCGTTCAAAGTTTGTTATTGAAAAATATTGATGGAGTATATAAGAAAAATATTTCAAGTTTCATTTCAATAAGTAAAAGTGGAGGTGAAATTTTATCTTTGATGGCATTAAAAGTTTCTGATGTATTGAGTAAGATAATATTCCGTTATTCATTATTTCCCAAAGAAACAATATTTCACAAATTATTTCATGTAATTTTGCCTATTTAAATAAGTAGTTGTACGCCACTGAACTCTTAATTGCTCTCCTATTGTGCATCACATGTCGCTGTCAATAAACTGCTGCCCCATGGTTCACTACAATTTTTATAGTCTCATGGTCTACACAACAAATTACAATAGTATGGCTATGTTAAACAATGAGACTGATTTTCTGTGTGACAAACCCTAGCCTCAAGTCGCCATCTTGCCGAGTCGACCCTCCACATTCCAGCCGTTTAGATGACACTAGATTGCTCAGTTGGACTACAGTTGTTGATTGTGTCGAACTATTTATTGCCACTTGTCAGAAAAATGGTAGGAGTTTTAATTGAGCAAACGTTTCGACATGAAATTTGTTAATTCCGCCACAAAAGCTATTCGCTCTGACGAGTGTATGAGAGAAGGGCGAGACAATATTGAATATGATCCATGCCCAGGAAGTTCTTCAGGATGCTATGACGATTTTTTTTTTGTCGATGTCCACTGTACCCACTAGATCTAACCCCGGGTGACTTTTTATGTTTCCGAAAGTGAAGGAAGCATTGAAAGAAACTAGATTTGATAAAGTGAATGTGAAAGAAAAAGCAACAGAGAAAATGAACATGCATTCAGAAAATTATTTAAACACTGTTTTGACTCGACCAGTGGAAAATTCGAATGGAAAAGTGTATGGATAGTGGAGAGTAGTATATTGAAGGATATAAGGAATTCTATGGAATTCATTGAAAGTGGGAAAAACCTTTTTGACTCTCTACCTAATTATTAGGAGTTTTTAGTGTATTTTTTCTTCCTTTCTTTGTTGGTTTCCTACATTATTTGTTTAATGATGAAGAAATAGAAAGCCAGAAAGCTTTTTCCCACGTGACCACGGCCTAAAAAACCGGAAAATAGCTTTCACACTAAACAATAATAATTAAAATCATGAGTGGTGGAAACTTAACCAAAGTACCCACTCGGTCAGTACATATCAGTCTTCCAGACTGGAGCATATGCAATCTTGCAAGGCACAAGGAACATTAATTTGATGTCTCAATGGATTGAGAGCATAGATGAGTATGCTAGACATGGATCATCAAGGTACCGTAATCTTTGGTATGGAACCGGCAACTCACACAGATAAACCTTTATAAAGGAACCATCTGAGAAGGGAGCTGACAAACTGCTTTCAGAAAGCAGGATTCGAATAGGAACAATTAAAGGGGTAGTCCACCTGAACAAAACAGGGCTGTACAACGGATACCTCAACTACAGAGCAATGCAACATAGGAACAGACACAGCTTGTTATGGTCGAATCAAATTATGTCCAGAAGAAAATGACAAATATCCAACAAAGGATCTATTCAAACTAGTACAGGGATCAAGGAGATTTTAATTAGAAAAAAAAATAGTGTTTACAGTGTTTCATTTGTTTCTATGTACAGTGTTCCATTTTTGTGTGGTTAAGAACTTACTAGTGGAACCTCAAAATCTTTCAGAATAAAAAAATACGAACACCAGAATAATATAAAAAACTGAGATATAAGAAAATACATATTTTAACAAGAGAGGGGGCGGTGAACCTTTGATAAATTACCAAAACAAATTTTTGTGCTGTAATATCATTTATCTATCTTCATGTTATTTTGAATTTTTTGAATGTATAATGTTGCTATTTTTTCAGTAATATTTCATTGAACTTGTGTTTGTCATATATTTTAAGTCATTTCTATATGTATCACATACCTTTCTTGTTTTATACTTTCTAGCTTATGTGTGTATTAGAATATCCTATTCCAATAAAGATATATGTATCTATTGGTAAACCCTAAACTTGTGATGAGAGAACCCAACGAAACTAAAAAAAAAAACTGAAAGAAACAGTTTGTATAATGTAATAATAAAGGAAATGAAAATATGGCATTACACTGGTGTTTAGTTTTATTATGTTGAATTGTAATTTCTTGCCAGTTGCAATGATCTGCTACCAAAATGTGTTTTGTTATTAAAAACTTTTGAAGTCTGAGCCGCTTGTGTTTTATACTCAGAAACTGGGTTGCTTATAGTTCAATAACGTATTTTATTCTTGTGATCAAAAGACTTATTTTTTGACTGACAGTTACTGACAAATCTGAAGTATCTCTTTATAAATATCAAATAGTGGTCTAAGGAGTAACAGAAGGGATCAATATGACTTCAATGAAATGAATAAAAACACTTTTGTCTAATTACCACTAGTTGAATTTATTTATACGACCGGTTTCAGGTTTAATCTTATTATCAAGTATAAAACTGAAATGTGAAGTTTGAAAACTCTGTTATATCGTGAGTTTTCAAGTAAGATGTAAGGACAGGTATTTGAAAGACAGGTAGTTGGGCGGACCAGGATGCCAATTTTAAAATTCAACACTGAAAATTCTAGCGGTTGTTAAACTTATAAATTCAAGAGAGGAGACCTGCATAAATCGAGTTGCCCGTTTAGGGGTGTATATTTCTGGTTTTTAATTGATTTGTCAATTTCCATGGCTTTGAACAAATTAATTTTTCCCCTTTATTACATATGTGTAGGATTTTGAGGTTATCTTTATTTATCTTGTGTTGTGATTCTTGAAGATGATCGTACATTGTAGATTTTTTGTCCAAACAGACGTGTTCACACAGCCTTATGTTAAAATTTCTATCGGTTTGGCCTGTATATACTGCCACACTCTAATGGTATTGGATCAATTTGAATATAAATTGATTCCTTAGATTTATGTACAACTGGGTACGATACATGTGTGTACATGTCAGGTGCAAGTGTTATACAAAAATGTTCTCATGACTTTAGTAATCCTTCTGCATAACTGGTGAGCATCTGAATAGGTTGCCATGGTAGATGTCTCAACCGTGAATGTTCGAGTTTGCGCTAAATATAGCGGTATTTCCATTCACCATAGTGACAGATTTTTCAATGTAAATATGCCGAGCAAAATTGTTTCCCGGGCTGCTATCCCGCGGAATATTGTTTTATATCTGACAGCAATAGGATCATGCTTCGTTGCTGAAAAGCAATACACTCGGAAATCGATCTGTTAAAACGGTAATTGGATGAAACAAGATCCTCGGATATATTATAAATGGATTGTGAAATTTCCTTCTTTCTTTGATATTCAAGTGTTATGACGGAGTTTTGTTGCAGGTTATCTCTGGAGGCAAACCATACCATATATCCCTGGAAGATTACAAGAAAATGTGCGCCATCAAGAGGAGCTTCGAAATCAAACAGAAACGCCTCCAAGAAGCTCAGACCGTCAAAGGCATTCTGGTAAGACACAATTCCGTTCTGAAGTCAATTCATCCCAGAAAAGGTCTGATTATCTCTAAAACCTCCGTCGCCCCGACCAAAACCGACACACAACCTTCTGCCCCACCGGTACCGCCCCTTCTCCCTAGCGCTGAGGGGGAGAACATTCTCGAAAAACTAGATCAGCAGGTGGAGAAATTAGAATCTAAACTCAACGAGAAGCAAACGTCTCTTCTTTTGCCTAGGATACCAAAATCACTTACCGTCATACCTCAGACGGTTACGAGGAGACCTTCGAGTCCCGTTTTGCTGGTCACTCCCAATATCGCCAATAACAAGTCATGATTGGATATGTTGACAATTGTTCAAAGTGCCTTTTGAAACCGGGGGTGATTCGAATATTGGCGCCCTCTGAAATGAATGAATAAAGCTAATTTTTTCGTATGTGATAGTAGTAATGATAGTCTGGCAAATAATTAATAATTCCCTGGTGAACCAAAATATTTTCATATTGAAGGTCTGGCTACCTCATATTAGGATCAGTCTATTCAGTGGAAAACTTTCACAGAAATACTAAAAAGCTAGATACCGATCACTACTACTAGCAAAAATATTGCTGACATTTAGCAACTTTGAAGTATGGAGAACAAATTTTTCAGTACTGCGTTATATTTGAAAGGGATGATGTAGTTAGAGTAGAAATTGAGCCCGGCCTTAATAAGTCATTGTAACTAGATATTTCGCCCTCAACTGCTGTAGGCATCTTCGGCTTTGATGTAATAGTCTCGTCTACCGACCTAGACAAGTAATAACAATAATTTTATTATCCTGTAAGACAATCGAAAAGGTACGATATGTGTAAAAACAAAAACTTAAAATTAGTAAACAGTTTACTAAGAGTAACACATTCATTGAAATTTTTATTTTAATAATCGATCATTTCCTGAAGGGAGTAATAGTTTTTTTCTAGTAGGAAAAACTCAAGTGCAATTTTGAAACTGCTGATAATACTAGAGTTGCTCAGTGCAAGGATGAGCAAATTGAATAATCTGAGCCCTATTACATTGGGGAATTGGTAGTCAGTGTGTCTGTCTTGCACCTACTGTTAATAGAATTCATATTTTCATTTCTTATGAAACGTTGTGTTTACCATATATTATGAAACACATAATTTGAATATATACAGGCAAAGTAATGTTAAATGGTTCCTCTCAGAAGGAGTTTAATAAAACATTCTTTCTCAATTATCTCAATCAAATAATTGAGAAATCTATGAGACTCCACTTCAGATTTTTCCCAAATAGGGGAGACCGGGGATGGTTTGGGCACTTTTCCGTTTTTTATTTTTGAAATTTTTTCTAAAGATGTTACCTTCTTGGTTTCTGCACTAATGTTTAGAGTGGTTCTTTAGGTCCATATATTTAAAATATAAAATATCCAAAATTAATACGTTTTGAAAAAACTGCCAAAAATCTAAGGTAGCGCATTTGTCCAAACCATCCCCGGGTACAGGGATACATTGGACACTACCCGGGGATGGTATGGACATGAATTTAGGGCACTTCAAAAAATGAATAAAACATCGATTTTTTTTAAATTCGTTTATTTAACAGATTACAAATGTAGAAAATACAAATATGTTGATTATTATATTAAGTTACGATTATTAGGAACCATTAATTCAGTCTTACATAAAAATGAAATTAACAATTGAGAAAAAATCTTCAATACCTATAACTGACAAGTATAAAATATAATCATATTCAACTAGTTATTGCAGATAGAATCCTGATATATCAGTATTGAAGTAAAGCATGCCTTTGAATCTCGCTCGATTGTCTTCTATCGGCTTTGGTAAAATTGTGATAACTTGAGAAAAAGTTATGAAAGAAGACGCTTCATTTGTCAAGCGAAAACGATTTGATGGGATCGTTCGCTTGTAAAACTGGACATGAAGGCCGTCTAGTAATTTTTGTTCTATTTTGGCAACAAAATTAACAGCAAACCTTCCTTTCTCTGACGGTACTTTCACAACCAGGAAGTTACCCTCAACGGCATCACTTCCACTCCTAAGGCACTCATCGCTTTCATCGTCTAATTCCATTTCGGAAGATGAATCCTTTAAAATAACTTCATCCATATCTTCGTCCGATGAATCAGTCTTATCTCCTTGGAAAACATTTTTCACAGCCTTAGATTTCTTTGCCAGTCTACTTCTTGATTTATCTTCGATTTCTTCTTTTTCCGGCGTATCAGTGGCAATCATACATTTTCCACGCTTGCGACCACCCTTAGTCAGTTTCCGTGGCTTAGCTTTTGGGTATGGAATTAACTGTTCTGGTGAAACAAAAGAACCCGAGAGTAAATTGTTATTATTAAAATGATGACTGCATGATGCAATTGGTGTATGAGCCTCGGTAGAATTGATGATTGTGCTAGGAGGATCTTCAGCATTTATGCCATTGGCTAAATCAGTGCTTGACTCAGTAGGTTTTAAGGAGTTGCTTGGAATGAGAGGATCTGAAGAAGGGCATGGACGATCTGAGACAGCAGAGCACAGAAAATCATGGTCTTGAAAAATGTTTCTATCGAATGGTGAGATGCCACATTTCTGAAAACCAGCTTTTGCATTTTCGGGAGTCGCGGCTCGATCCCAAGCTCGGGAGCAAAGCTCCGGAAGTGAGTAGATTGTTAGAGTTTGATTGGGGTGATCCAACATCCATGAGTGCACTGCATTGCTGAAATACTTCTTGAATGGCCCAAATACGCTTCGGTCCAGGGGCTGTAATCTGTTTGAAGTATGTGGCGGTAAAGTCAAAATAGTGATTCCGTTATCCCGGCAGAAGTTGATGGCCTCCAAGCTAAGATGCGATTCATGGTTATCCATTAGAAGCAGGACAGGATGCTCTTTATCACACCTGACGTTATCCTTAAAAAATTTCAAAACCAAAATAAAGTTGTCTGTCGTCATCCATCCTGATTTATGAACCAGACCTAAAGCCCCAGGGGCTGCTCCCGCCATCATTTTCGTCTTGTCAAAGCGCGCTCGTGGAAATATAAAAACGGGAGGCAAACAATTGCCGTTGGCACATATTATCCCGACTTGGGTGACAAGTTCTCCCCTTTCTCTTGAAGTAACTTGACCAATTTGTTTTTCACCTTTTTGCGCAATCACTTTAGTCACAGGTGGGACAGTGGTAACCCCTGTTTCGTCCAAGTTAAAGATGTCCGAGGTTCTATATTTATTTCTGTTGATCACCTCATGTAATTTGTCAAAGAATTCACCTACAGTTGTTTTGTTGAAGGCAGTCATTCTGGCTAGGGAAGTGGCCTCAGGTTTTCTAATTGACAGTGTGGAGTTCCTCTTCATAAAACCAGTAAACCAATCTTCTCCAGCTTGTTGATTTTCTTCCCAGGAGTTTGGAACTTTTACATCGTTAGCCTCAGCAAACTGATAGGCTATTTGTCTGCATTTTTTTGGCGTCATTCCATAAAACATTTTGGAACAATGTAGCAGGTAATCGGCTAGCATTTTCTCCATTTGGTCGGAAAAAACTTTCCTCTGGTGAAAGTTAGGTTTGAAGGAAACGTTATCTGAGCCCTTTTCTTTTGCTTTCTTTACATAAAGGGCTAAACGAGATTTGGTTACATTTCGAGCAGCTGCTACCTGACGCAAGCTGCCATGGTTGTTCAAAATGTCTTCTACAGCCTGCTGAAGATCACCTTCTGGAAAGGTTCTGTCAGTTGTCTTTTTAAATGTCCGTGGCATCTAAAATAAGAAAACATATTTGTTATACATAGGAAGATGGATAGTTCGAACGTCAATAATCAACTTGATTATTAAGAAGGTAAAAACAATACAAAAAACTGATCGCCTAATTTTGATTTTCAGGTTTTTAAACTAATTTCGTGAATTGTGTACTTTTTATTGGATTTAGCCCATTTTCCTAAATCATTATATAATTTTAATTTTGTTTTGGTCCATTTACGTCCAAATTGTCCAGGTTACACAGTACAACAAGCATATAGGGGATAGAATGGACACCTGGGGATACAATGGACAGGTTGTCCATTGTATCCCCGACAACCTGTCCATTGTATCCCCGACTGCCCCCTCCATAAATTTTTGGCTTAGGGAACACAATAACAAATAGTAGTGACATGGTCAACACTAGATTTTATTCTTACTAGTCACCAAAACATGCATTAAAAAGACAGAGAACAAAATACAATCCTAGGTTACAATAAAACCTTACGTACTTACCTTAAAAAGTTAGATCAAAGACGTCAAGAACAGACTTCATGCTATGAAACTCAGACTTCGTTGTCCACTGATATACTGATTTAACGGCTGATGTGACTCAGTGTTGCCAACATTCACAATCGATTAGAGCTCCAGAATTCCTACTAGGGCGGGAAATATGAACCTGTCCATTGTATCCCCGTGTCCAGACCATCCCCGGTCTCCCCTACAACAAATGTCATGTCCATAACTAAAGTTTTATTTTTATTATCTGTAAATTTTAGAAAAATCTGCTTCAAAGAATGATATATTTTGGTGTTAATCCCGCATTAGTCAAGTGAGTTGGTATCTACTTTCACTATTTCAGAACTATTTCACATAGACAAAATTTTAAAAGAAAAAGAATTCCCTATAAAAGTTGAAATATTCTAAAACAGATCTATATTAATGATTTCAATATCTGAATGTAAAGAATGTTTAGATTTTTTTCTTCCTATTTAATTTCAATTCTTCCAGTTTCTTGAATCGCATTTCATGGTTAATTTCCATTATTTCTGATATTTTTCCATGAAATTAAATTAAACGAAAATTGTTGTTGATAGTACTTCAAAGAATCGATGGGTTAGCTGGTCGATTTTGAATGTTTGTTGAATGATTCATAACATACTTTTCAGGGGACGGCCAATAATTACTGATCATCCTGTGTTGTCAATACAATACAAAATTCAATACCTTTCGAGTAACTTTGTAATTTAATAAAATTGTTGGCAATGTGTAAGATTGCACTGGATAAGAACTATTGTTGAATTATAGACAGTTAAATATTTTTTTAATACAACAAATTGTGTATAGAAAGTATATGTACAGATTATAAAATAACGAGTAGCTGATAGATAATTTAAAATATCACATTTTTCGACTTGGTTTAAGTGTCAACACAAAAATAAACAACAATAAAAATGAAGCAATATGTTTTGTAAGAAAGGAATCAAATGTTAGGTAATTGAAATATAGGCAGTGGAAAAATCTTCCCAAGTAGTTTCCAGATAGCACGGTTCACTGACTTCCTAGAACTTTCCCAAGATGTCCCGCAAATGTTACTAGGACAACTGTTGAAGAACATCTTCAGCTGACACTTCGCCCGTTCGTCATAAGGTCCTTCTCAAATAATGTAAATACAAAGATATCATATATTATGTGTAATAAGCGGACTGTATTACTCCTAAATGATATCTCCTCCTGATAGGAAAAAAATCGCTAGTTTTGCATTTCCATTGTTACAGTGAGGTGGTGTGAATGTTGTTGTGTTTAGTATTCAATGGCGTCTAGAGTTCTGACAGTCCATTCTTTCACTTTCTTAAAATGATTGTCGATTCGAGACAGTTTAGTAGAAATTGTAATAAATGTCTCACACATATCCTTCTGGTCATTTGAGGATTACCTAGTTATGATCAGAAAAGACCTAGGATGTCCTAGATTCAATAATTTTTAAGTTCTTGATTAGTAATACTATTACGAGAACTTGAAGGAAATTAATTTCTGGTGAAATAGAGTGAAATAGTTCTGTATGATAGTGAAACCGAAGAAATGTGAAACTAGTACATTTGGCTTCATATTGCAAGGGAGAAATCGTTCAGAAGTCATCAGACACTGCAAAAAATACTCTGAAATGAATAAATGAATGACGTCTCACTCGTTGAGTGGCAGACACATTATTGGGTGAAGTTTCGCTTCCATGAAATATTTATAATTTCTTATACGAAATGCTGTGCTCCTTTTCAATAATTTTCATAATCTCCACATTGATGGTACTGTGTATTATGATCCAATGACTCACTGTCTCTGTCCCTTTGTTGCATTGCCTTCAGTTGAGGGCTCCATTGTACGGCCCTATTTTGTTCAGGCGCCCTCTTAATGGACAGTGAATAGCCCTGTTTGCCGAAACGTTACTTGGTATGTCAATAACAGTAAACTGTGATAAAATCGACAAAACATATCTTGGGAAGTGATTGACGTCATACTTGGGCTGAGGTGAGAATTAGTAAGGCAGGATCTCCTACGGAGCTACAGAGGTTCTATTCTAATATCCTGTGGGCATCAAAAGGATTTCGTGAGTAGAATTTAGAACCTCTAACGTGAAATGATTCTATTGATGACAGTTTTTTCAGTAGTTTTGTTCTGGTGTGGAAAAAGTATTTTCAATAGATTGAAGGGATTATCTAGGAGATAATTTCGGACTTACAAATGGATGATGGAATTGGAATGTGCGCTATCTAGGTTATTAATGGGTCCTACATGAAACAATGTTTATTTCAGTCAACTACCAAAATTTGATTCTTTTCTCAACATTATTTATTTATGTACTTATTTTTTATGGTTTTATGTACGATGTCATTTCTGATATGTTGGGTAGTGAGTTGTGTTCATTGACTCTTGGTTAGATATTTTGGTAACAGAGACAAGAAGTTGAGAGAGAGTTTAAATTTGAAAAAAAGTTGTTTTTCCATTTCAACTCTTTCGAAAATTCTATACAAGGTCACTGATTGTCACGGGGCAAGTTTTGCTTTAACCTACTCAAGAAATCAATTTCTGGGACTTCCAACAAAACATCATATACAAGTACAAACATGAAAGATATGGTTTAGAAGGAAGTAAAACTGATTTTTTTTTTTTCGAAAATTTATTGTTCGTATGAACAATGTGATGCAGTACGAGATAATTATTTCAGGTATTTGTGAATGAATCTTTGAGAAGGAGTAATTTGCAGCATCAAATTATGTTTTCATTCATAGTAATTTGCCCATAAATTGCTACCACTAGCTTTCAACACTACTAAAAAATCATTCGAAGTTGGACTGTCATCTGTCGTACATTTACATGTCCAGCTGAACCATGGTAGATATTTAACCTCTTATTGGTTGTGGTGGGTGGTTAGTGGAAGTAGGGGAATTCAACTTGATACCTAATTTTTTCCCTCTTGAACTATTCGAGTAAGATTCTTGCTCTGTGGAGTAATGGCTGGACAAAGTCCGATCGAAATTTTATGTTATTATTGAGCAGAGAGCTTACGATAAACTTGTAAACTTTTCTCTTTGTTATGTAGTGGTCTGATCACGAAAGGTCAAAGTTTGGAAATGCGGCTATTCATAAGTACTGATACAGAGATTTTCAAAAGATTCAGTTGTGTGATATTTTCTGAAATGTGTCACATTTTTTCGAGTTTGAAGGCCGTAGATTTTTGGAATTTCTTCCTGACGTTTCGCTGGGACGAGTGGCTAGCTTCTTTAGTGGTTTATGCATCCTGAGTTATCTCTGATGACTGGATATTACGGCTGCGTAAGACATATTTATGTTGACTCAGGTAGTTTGGTGTGCTAATACCTGTACCTGTGCCATCGGAGATATAGGATATTCACTTCAAGAATAGAATGACGTCACAAGATGACAAGTTATGGCATTGCCAACTTGCACTAATTCGAACTTGCAATTTTTTTTGTACTGTTGATTTGTTTTATTGCCATTAACTTTACTTACTATTAATTTACTTAGTTGAAATACAACTTTGTTTCGACAATGCTTCGATCATATTGATTATACGCAGGTCTTATCAAAAGTAATGATTACTTCTGAAAATAAAGAATGATTGACAGTTTTCGAGTTTTTTTTGATTCGGCAATGTTTGAAATTTTACTATCAGTTGAGCAATTTACAAAATGAAACTTTACTAGTTTCATTGCTATTGAACGCATTTCATTGGGAATTTCAAAGTTGTTATGTTGGATATAAAAAATTACCAAAAATGACGTTATTCTCTTCTTAACGTGAATATCCTATAACTTAGGATCTATAAACCACTGAAGAAGCCAGCCACTCGTGTCAGCGAAACGTCAGGAAGAAACTCAAAAAAACGACGGCCTTCAAAGCCGAAAAATAGTGACACCTGAAAACTTCGGCCGTGAAAGCCTTAACCATTTTGTCATTTCCTGCGGACAATGATTATTTGTCACATTTATTTTTTTTATTAAAAAAATCAACTGAGAGCTCACCGTTTCTTGCTGTTTTTCAAAAATCTACAATGATTAAAGCAAAACTAAATCAGTAGAGAATTGGCAAAAGTGTAATGAAGGGAATACAGAAATGTCAACCCCAAAAAGATCCAATATAAATTACAGATCAGTCAAATTACTGTGTGATTTGTCATGGTTTCTTTAGATGGTTTGCATATTCCTAAATTTTGCATACAAACAAAATAAACAATGTAAAAATATGAAATGTATTTCATATATTCAGATTCAGATTTCTTTGAATAGTTTAAGTTTCGAAAAGTAATCCCTCGATTTATTTATTCATTTTTCAGTCTGTGGAAGGTAGAATAAATCAAAAAAACAGTAAGCAACGTTGATTCTTTCACAGAAAGTGTCTGTCAAAAAAAAAACTATTAACACAATTGTGTGCCCAAGCCAAACATTGAATTGTGCATCAAATAGTAGTCGCAGGCTGATGAAGAAATTTCAATTTCTGGTAGCAGAGCACATTCTTTGTAAATGCTAACTGGAATAGGGGTGACTCACAATGAAACCCGCGGGTTACACTTACTTTGACCAACCTACGTACCATTTCCAAACTAAATGAATATTTAACTAGAAAGTTTTTCATTTGTATTGGCAGCATTGCAAAAAGGGTTTTTTATTTGCACTAATCTCATTTCTTTTTGTCAAAAAGTTTTGCTATCTCAGCTAATTGTTGTTTGATTGAGTAAAGAGAGTAAATAACTTCTAGCAAGAATCACTCAATCTGAAATGAGTTCAGTTCTAATTAAACACACTTAGAATCAAGCTGAAAAGAAATGCATTGTTTCAAATTGTTTCCCAGATTGACAATTTTATTTTTCATTCTCTGGTATTTTGATGTTGGCTCCAATTTTGATGTCAGGTTCATGATCAGTGAACAATTAATTAAGCACGAGCTCCTCTACCTAATGATGACATCAAATATTGCGAACCAGGACTTGTGTTTAATTAGACAGTCAAGCTGCTTTTGTTTTTTTTAAATGCTGTCTAGTCCTATCACTTTCTGACTATTGAAATAATTTTGACATTTATCTCCATTTATGTCACTATTACTGACACTAATTTCAATTTATCCAATTATTATTTTTCTTTTTTTTTTAGTGATGTTCATATACATAAGAATACACAGACTGTTAAAAGGCGGCACCATTTTGAAAGAAAACAAAGGACCGGACTGTAAAATTGTAGAGCCAAGTCAAATGTGAAGAAAAGTACACTTTTCTTCAACCCAACCTCTGCTTCTGAATCTATCCTGATATGCAGGACAGTTTGTTGTGGACTGGGGAAAGAAAATAACACATCATTTCAGTGGACCAAATTTCGAAACTTTTTGCAAAATGTAATATTCACAGACCGCACCTTAGAAGTCTGTATATTCTTATGTCTACGGGTTTATGGTGATGTAGTTGAGAAATGATGATTTGTAATAATCAATGAAAGTGTAATTATTGCAGAAATGATGTCTCTAGGTTTTTTTAACACTAACTTCCTTCTATTTGTTGAAAGAAATCATGAAACTGGATACAATTAGCTCAAAAAGCATAGTTATCGTCACTGATAATCACCAGATTGAATGTTCATATGGCATGTACCATGATGAGAAATTTTGTCTTGAGTTCATCCCTTATGATTTCAATAGCTTAAAATGTAATAAGTTAGGTATTTTTCACATATTTGTAAAATAATTCTAATTTAGGGTTTATACATAATTTTATTTATTTTTCGCTATGACGTAGTTATAATTTTTTTGTATGTTTTGATTGATAAGGCTCGCATGTCTAGCTATTTTAGTTTGGTTTCATTTGGAGCGTCCTAATTTTTTAATTTGAAGAATAATTTACTCGAGGATCTGTTTCATTTTGTTTTTTACCTACCTTGTATATGGAAATCAGGAAGTAGGTATATGTGAGAATGAAAAAAGGCTGAGTTATGTTGTTTATTGTTAATTATCTTTACAAATGTATAAAGCCCAACAATATTATGAGAAATGAATATATTCTGTTGATGTAAATACCATTTGGGCGGTCTTTATTGAATTATAAACATTTTTAATGATTGGAGTTTTTTATTATTTGTCCACTTTCAGAGAAAAGAGTAAGGTGTGAAAAATAACTTCCAATGTTCTACCAACTAGAACTTTTGAGAGAACTTGATTGTAATAATTTCTGTGTTTCTTCTAGACTTAGCCGAGTATTATAACGTTACCAAATAGTATATTGACTTTTCTAATGATAATTTAGAGGAACTACTGCATGAATATAATGAAGAAGAAGAATTTTTTTAAACAAAGGTTTTGGCTTTCTACTTCTCCATCTTTGAAATTTTCCAAAGGAAGGAGAAAAGCAATAAATTTCAAAATAAACTCTACAAAGTTCCTACTCGAAACAGTTATTATAGAATTGAATCAAATATATATAGTAATCTTTCATTTTTTTGTAGTGAACGAGGTACATTTCAACGTTGAAATTCAAAAAATATAAATTCCTAAGATGTTCTTATACAAACTCTTGAACAAGTAGATGTATAGTGAATTGTCGAAACAAATTTAGTTTCTAGTATTCAAATCAGGCATAACGGAGATCCTAGAACAAAGTTTATTTTGAGAACCATTGAAAAATCAATGTTATGAACGTTTTCATTTTATCTATTCCAATTTATTCTTTATACTCTCTTTGTTTGTATTTTCTTTGTTGGTGAAAAATCTGTTGAGTTTTTGATATAAATGAAGTAAAAAATGGCATTAAAAAAAATCTAAAATAGGTGAATTGGTGAAAAATTTCAATTCTTAAATTCTTTCTTGGAAACCAAGATGCATAGAATATCCCTGAAACCCTTCCCCATGTGAAATATTTTGATAAAAACTTTCAACCTACAACACTCTCGATAAAGAAATAATAAATAGTTCCAATAAATTTCAGTATTTCATTTACAGACGTGTTGACGGGTTAGCTGTCCTTGTTCATCTTTCACTGCTTGAACCACTGTGCCTGCTGTTTTTGGCTAGTGCATTGGCTTGTGATGTGGGAGTTGAGCAAACCGGCCATCGTATGCCTGCTTCCACATAGCTTCGCTGGATACGGGAATGACAGAATCACTTGTGGTTCTGTTATTTCCTAACTGAATGGCATCCCAACGATGGCCTTATCCTAAGGTGGGTGTATCCGTGCCGAGAGGATGAATGACATTAAGCCTATCAGCTGTCTCTGCGGAACCTTCGAGATACCGGGCGCCCTCTCGTCGTAGCATCGCCTTGTCACGGTAATGCAGGGCTCTGCTGTGGTACTCGTGGGACTTTTATGGACAGAGTAAACTGAACATTTTTTCTAACGCTGAGTCTACAGAGGAGATGGATGTCGAGCTTACGACTCCAACTGACCTCCCTGTAAATTTAGATCAGAAGCGAGAGCTTCTCAATTCTCTAACTTCTGATACAGTAACTGAAACGAAAAAAAAAGGTTTCGTGGTGCAGCCAGGAAACGACTGAGTCGTCTCCTCAAGAGCGGGGTACCTTATGAAACCGCCTTGCACCAAATTCTTGAACGGCGTACGCAGAATCTGTCTCAAGTGGAGGAACAAACCTCCCATGAGCAGGTTAGCAAACGTTTGCGCTCAAGTAATGATTCACCAAAACCAGAGGCGAAAAAGCCCTCCACAGTTGAATCTAAGGCATCGTCAGGTGTAGCTGACGTGCAAAAACCCTCATATATGGGAAGGTTGTCGCGGGTATCAAAGTGGGAATCTTGCACCTTGACTATCCCACTACCTTACTAACGTTGAAACAGCAGAGCATATACTTTGGGCCTGCCCCACTGGGAATCGAATCAGGTTTTTAGAGTTCGGCAAAGCCGTACTCTTACCATCTGACCTGAAAGACTTCTCACCATACAAACTAATCGACTTCGTAAAGAAGCTGAGTTTATTTGATCGAGTGTGAATAGGTGTGAGCCACAATAAACCCTTGCAGGTTACGGTGGAGGATCGAATAGACCCACAAACTCTGGACCTAACCTAACCTAACCTACAGACGTGTTGGAATACAATTCAAGTGACCAGCTTGACAATGTCAAGTTGGCACTTAAATTTTCAATGTTGTTTACATTCGGGAATAAACTGATATTAAATCCAGGAACATCGGCTAATTTGAAAAAAAATTAAGTGTACATTTTGGTCCATAAATTGAAATCTGAACAAAATACAGCCAACAGATTTTGATTCTTGCACCATCTATCAACATGTGTACAGTACACGCCACTGCTCTGATGGCGAGCGAACGCGTATGTATAGACTTGAGATATTTTAAAAATTCCAGGCATGGCATCTTATATAGACTCTCCCAACTAAATTACTATTGGATTACGATAAGCCCCATGTCGGCCTGTGTCGTACCTATAATCAGTTTTAATTAGGGTAACAAATAGAATATGACTTCTTTGTAATTTATTTTCATATTTTATTTAGTATTGTTGGTAGTAGTACAGTTCATTAAAATGTTATATAATGATACCCTTATCAAAAAATTAATTTTAATCAGTCACTATCTGAATACAAATTTCTTCATCTCCACTGCTGCTTATATAATCATTGGATTTAGCTCTGTTTGAACGTCTGTGAATGTTTCATTTTTCCAATATTTCCGCTCTATATCTACTATATTGTTCCCCTTCTTCAATCACTCTCTCAATGGTTCTTATTTATTGAAATACCTAATACAAAATAGAGATTTGTGTTGAAATAGTGATTTTTGATACCGCCTTTGATGTTCGATGGCTCAAAATTCGTAACCTTGAGTATGATGTTTATACAACCTCGATATACACGGAGAAAAAGGTTTCGTTGATTTCAACGATATTCTCTCAATGTACACTGAAAAAACATACTTTCGCTAACAGAAAAAGTTATTTCCCTCCAATGACGTCATATAATCCCCCTATATCTCCTTTGTCTAAAAGGGTATATGTTGGCGCATTTCTATTTCTACTGGTACACAAAAAAATAATGATTTGGCTTCTGTAGGAGCAATTTTTAATTCAATTGAAATTACCTCATCTATTACGAATCTGAAGTCCAATTAACTTTCAAGACTGTGCATAAGACTTTAAACTGATATTTCTTTCGTGATGGATATTTACTATATTTACCAATTGTTATTTATTCATTTCATTTTGCATCTTAGTCATATTTTTCATGTGACAGAATGACGTTCCAAGACTTGTCGGCAATGTTGCCAGGCAAAATATAAATTCCCTTTTAAGGAAGTACAATTGTACAAGAAATTCATAGAATTTCGAATGAAAGTAATTTTTTTTGGGGGGAAATCAGAGTTTTGATCGATCTTTTTTGGTTATTTTCGCCTTCTACAATCTAAAAAACTATAACAATTGTAATGGGGGAACAGATTGTGGAAGGTGAAAATACCCAAAAAATAGGTCTATGAGAAGTTACAAGATAATTCACTTTTATTTCCTATTATCGATTGTAACAGTCAATAAGATTCATTGAGAAAAAAACAGTTTTGATTTCGCGAATCTTTTTATAAGTAGTGAAGTGAAAAACAGTAGTAAGAAAGCAAATATGGAAAAAACATTATGTATATACCTAAGACGAATCGTTGAAAAACATAATTGAAATAATATGATAAAATACCGAAACTTTGATGATTTGGCAACGCTTTTCGGTTTTAAACGCCAGATCAGATCGACGTGAAGTTTGGAACGTAAACATACTGTTTTTATTCTATATTAACACTTTTGGCATACACGTCTCAAAAAAGGATTACTAAAATAAACTTTTTAAAGACTAAAATAGCTGCAAAGTTTTTATTTACAGTCGCAAATTGGTGAAAATAAACGTAAACAAATCTGAAACAGTGCCTGCCCTTCCTGAGAATGCAGTTTTACAACACGCCTCCCGAGTGCATTAGGTGCATTTTTTAACGTCAAATTTTTAGTGTCAAGTCATGTGTAAGTAGCCTACATTTTATAATCGCGACTGATAAAAGAGTTCATGGTTTTTTTTTTCCAATGAGTCAACATGTGAGCTAGTTTATCTAACTGGTGAGATACGAATTTATGTTAGATATGATATCAATGAGAGCTGAGCAAAATTTTTGGTTATATGCGTTTTAAAGGGTCAACATATTTCTGTGCTAAAAAGGAGAGGCTAACGCCTTCAACTAGTGTAAGCTTTAGTATAAATTAGTTCGATGTGTATACTTGTATTTTTTGAATCATTCTCACTCCTCTTTCTCAGGTTTCTTTGTATAGAATAATTGGCAAGTAACAATTCAAAAACTTCATGGAACTTATGGAATGTAAACTGGAAAATATCCAGATATAATGGAGAAGTGGCTAGCGAACAAATAACAACTTTTATCAATGAATATTTTCAAAATGTATCCAAATCTATCACATCAAACTTACAGTTAATAACGTAACTAAACTGGTTACAATTGAAATTGATTGAAAAGAAATCAGAGAAGTAAGTAATATGAAAATAAACACTAGCAGAATCACCTTTTCCTCTGAAATTAATGTGAGCAAAACTTTTTACATAAAAAAAATATGATTTGATGCATTGTCAGTGTTAACAAAAGAAACAGTTGTGAAGAATTATTCAAAGAGCTTGGTATTCTAACTGTTACCCCAATCTATGGTATGAACCATGAAAAATTAATAATGTGTTGGACCCCCACGATGTTTTATTCACTCAACCAAATACGTAGGCATACTGTCAATGAGTTAATCGATTTCCTCCAGAAGTACTTATGCTACCTGTACCTCTTGGCGAAGGTCCGTCAAAGTCTGTGGGGGATGGGTTGAACTTATTAATCTCCTTCCAATGATATCCCAGACATTCTCAATGGGTGAGAAATCCAGAGATCGAGGTGGCCAAGGCAACAAATTGACTTGGTTTTAATGAAAGTGGTACATGGTAACTCTTTCTATATGTGGTCAATGTTTTTATCCTTACCCAACCATCTTGCGACCCCAAACAAAATCTGAATTTGTCACTGAAGAGGACTGTGTTTCATTCCTGGTTCCAGTATAGTCATTCTATTCTATTCATGATATTCTATTCCTGTTGGTTGGCTTTCATGAAACCATTGCTCACAAGTATTCACCACAATATTCAGAGAACTTTTCATCCTAGTGGTAATTTCTCTGAAAGACAAACTAGCTTCCCTCAGATCACAATTCAATCACTGTCTCGGTTGATGAAAATTCAGCAGTCTTCTCGTTCTAGACATAATCAACACCTCTGATAGATTTTTTGATAAAAGTTCTCGTTTTGTTAGTATTTTGCCATACAAATAAGTCAAATATTCAGCTATTCATTTAAATGCCAGTATAATTTTAAAGTATATTTGTACAAATTCCAAGTCTTTGTGACGTATGTAAACATAAAGTGTAAGACAAACCTCAAGTGACTTTTTTATTTTAGCAAGTCGAGGACATTGTATGGTATTCCCAGTTGGAAAAATGGATACATTGGCCGCAAACATGAAAATGAAGTATCCAACTGTTGGTTCCCCCATTCTCAAATCTATAGACCCAAACATCAATAACAGAACCCTCCCCAGCAGAAACAACGCCTCAGGGGATACTTCCGTTTGTGGCACAACTGAAGGACTCATTTCTCTCAATTTGTCTGACGATGAATACGAAGGATCAAAAAGTGTTTTTCTGCTGGACGATTCTGAACAATTGCTAATGAAATCTGAGGGGAGCTTTCTGAAAGCTCTAAACATAAAACCCAGTGAGAAAGTTAAAGTAGTTTCTATCTTCGGAAACACAGGTGAGGGAAAATCCTATACTTTGAACAAAGTGTTTTTCAATGGAGAAGAAGTATTCCGTACGTCGCCTTCTCAGACATCTTGCACCTTGGGGGTCTGGGCAATGTATAATCCAGAGCTGAAAGTCATTTGCTTGGATACAGAAGGCTTATTAGGTGAGTTTTTAAAACAACTGTTTGTAGTACAGCAAAAAATCACCTTCAGTACTCTTTTCCTATCAGTAAGTTGCAAATGCAAATTCAATGCTAAAAAACCGGTTTATTACTCAAATTTTTTAGATTACCCAAATTCTTTGAAACTGAATGTATATACAGTGTGGTAATTTGATTGATTTCTTGCCTAATGTGGTGTTTTGAGTCATTGATATTAGTTGGAGTCTTCTTTGTAATTTTTTTTCATTTTAAATAGCGTCACAGAAAAAATCAAGTGGATTCAGATGGCAAGAATAGGCTGGCCATTCAATTTCGCCACATCTACCGATTTATCGATGAGGAAAAATTTGATTCAGATAATCTTGTACTACTGCAGCATAATGTGGTGTAGCTCCATCCTGTTGAAAACATATGTTTTCAATATTATCTGCGGTGTCAACACGATTTGGAAATTAAAACATTCTGTAAAAAATCCAAGTAACTGGCCCCAGTTACTGTTTCTTCAAAAAAAATATGGTCCAATTATTGTGTTATTTAGTATGCCAGCACAAACGTTCACTTCCAGTACAGATTTTGCATTCTCTAATACCGACAATTTTGCTTGTTCACCGTTCCATGTGAGGTAAATATTGCCTCATAAAAAATAGTTTTTTGAATAAATTGGATTCCGTTGACATCTATCCATCATTATTTCACAAAATTCTAATCTGCGATCAAGATCATACTCATTCAGTTCTTGATGTAGTTGAATTTTATATGGATGGTATTTATGTGTTTCGAAAATTCTCATTATAGAAGTTTTCTTGTAGGTGTTTGTGGGTTTTCCTCAGAAGATAATAAAACATCCTATTTCTTTTCGTCATTTGTCATTCCCAGCTTTGGAAAGATCTTTGACAGTTCTAAATTCACATTCACGAAATATTTGTTCTGTTCTTCTCACCGTAGACTGGGAAATATGATGTCTAAATTCACATTCACGAAATATTTGTTCTGTTCTTCTCACCGTAGACTGGGAAATATGATGGTCAGGATATTTCTCATTAAATATTCTGTATACATCAAATTGTATTCTTGTTTTATCACCCACTCCGAGCAATATCAATATCTAAATTCTTAGGACTGCACTGTATATAATATACCATAATAATACCATAATCCAACCACATTTTGATTATACTGCTTATTATAACCTTTGATCAGAATATGATGACAATATATCAATGAAGTTTGCTGTATTAACTTCTCTTAATTAATTATTTGCATAAAAAAAATTGTTATTGATGATATTCATTCACATTTTTAGGCAAAAATACCCTATACCAAAAAAATATTATATAAAGCTTTTTTGAAAACAATAAGTACTTTACCTAATGCTGTTAGGTATGCAACATATTATATAACAATTAAATTGATGACATACATTAGAAAATGAAAGTGTAATTTTCATCATCGATTTCATACTTATAACATGTTCGAAACTTATTTCCACAAAGTAAAACAATGTATTATTTCATTTTTATTCAGATGTTCAGTATTTGCACTTTCCAAATCATTTGATGCAATTTTTTATGTGAGAAACAAAAGCAGTTGGATTCTGTGGAAAACTGCTAGAATGGTTAAAAATTAATATTGTTAATAAATCCCAATAATTTAATGTCAAATAATTCATATCTCAAGAAATTAATGTATTATAAGGTGTACCACAAGGTAGCCCCCTAGGACCACTTTTTCAAACATTTTCATAAATATCATTAAAGTTAATTTAAAATGAATTGATGGATGTAGCCGTTACTATGTGGTAGGAGATCATGATGAAAAGAGAAATGAAAATTTCTATGTATTTACCACTTTTATTTGTAACTAATGTTACTGCAGTTTCGTCCTATATGGACATTTTCAAACTACATTACGTTTACGGTCTGTCGTAGGGGAATGGGTTAGAAGCTTCTAGAAGATATGCTGAAATGTATCCTCAACGGCAGCATCCTTCACATAGAATATTTGCTCGACTTCATCAATGATTACGAGAATATGGTTCATTTGACAAAAGAACGCAGGATTGTGGTCGCCATCGAGAAGTTCGAACACCACAGCTTGATGAAGCAGTACTTAATTTGATTGAAGAACAACCTACTACCAGTACTAGAAATATTAATTTCCAGCCAAATGTTGATCATATGACGGTATTTCGAATTTTGAAGGAACAACTCTTATATCCTTACCATCTGCAACGAGTACAGGCACTGTTACCGCGAGACTTTCCGATCCGTCTTGAATTTTGCAATTGGATGCTGGAATTGATTAGAAGAAAATGTGACTTTCTTAAAACGATAGAATTCACAGACGAATGTAATTTTACTCAGGACAAGATTATTAATTTTCATAATTACTACAAATGGGCTGATGAAAACCCTCAGGCTATTGTCGAAACTAACCATCAAGAAAAGTTTTCTCTCAACGTGTGGCTCGGAGTTATTGGGGATGATTTAATTGGGCCTCATTTTCTACCTTCTCTATTAAATGGTGAAGCATACGTACAATTTTTAAGAGAAGTGCATCCAGTACTGCTGGAGGAAGTTACTTTGGGCGTCAGAAGGGATATGTTTTTTATGCATGATGGGGCTTCCGCCCATTTCAGTCAAGTAGCACGTCAGCATTTAACTGAAACATATGCAAATCAGTGGATAGGTCGAGGAGGACCACAGAACTCTCCTATCAAATAAAAATATTTAATTTTCAAATCAGTCATATGATATTTTAAAATTGAACTAGTCCATACATCATAACCGACTTTATTGTTTTGCTTCATACTTTGTTTGACATTAAATAATTAATATTTCAAGCTAATAAACTAAAATGATTATTGTGACATTAAAGTCAGCAAATTCATTAAAGACACAGGATTAAATATAGATTGTGAAATTCTATTATTTGGTGATGATCTGAAGGTTTTTCATGTCGTAGAGTCACCTAATGACAACCAAATGCTGCAAAATGATTTGAATAAATTAGATCCATGGTGTTCTTCAAACAATCTTCCACTCAATTTAAGTAAATGTTAATAAGCCACATTTTTTAACAAACATACCACTCTTGATAACAACTATTCGATAAATGATTATTTATTTAAAAAAAAAAACAGACAGCTGCAAAGACTTGGGAGTATTCTTTAATTCCAAACTCTCATTCGCACTTCACATGGAGAAACTGCTGCGAAATAAGGATTTCAAAAACATATAAAGTATTACAGCCGGTTTAGAATATGACTGTCTTATCTGGTCGCCTATATATACTACACACATTCTATCGCTTTTAAAATTGATTACTTCCTTCCTTTCTTTGGAAGATTCCCACTTTTTTCTGTATTAAGATGGAGTAGTAGAAAGCCAAAAACTCTCTTTCCCAAAATGAAATATATCATCTACAAACTAGATAATGTCTACCCCAGACAGGGGATAGATGATAATATTTTGTTAAAGCGTTTTCATTTTATATCTCTTGAAGGCAGAACTTATTCTTTCCTACCAACACAGAAAACAAATATGTTATTCAAATCTCCCTGTTATGTTTGCGAATCAACAAATACTTAGTTGAAATTTGTTTTTTTTATTCCATGAAGGTATTATTGTTATAATACAGGGTGTAACTAAATAAGTGTAAAACATTTAGGGAGATGATTCCTCATCGAAAAAAAGATAGGATCTTTCATATAAAGAAATTTCATTGGAGCATCCCTTGTTAAGATACAGCCCCTTAAAGAGGGTACATAAAATTTGTATAACAATTTTTTTCACAAGCACTAAAAAAGTTACAATATTGAAATCAACCTGACGTTTTGTACTACCAAAAAGACACTTAGCCAGAAATTTATTTGGTTTACCCCATGATTGTAAGGGGTGGAAAACGCAACCCCTAAAATTTATTTCCAATGTAACTTTTTGTCTTATTATTTGTTTACCATTTAAAAATTTATTTCCGATAGCCTGTTTCATTCTAAACAAAAAAATGTCTCTTGGGTTTTTTGCCCAAAATAAACCAGTTAGCAGCAAAAAATTATTTTTGGAACAACTACAGAGATACATCGTCATAAATGCGAAAATACTGATACTGATACTGATACTTTATTGTCTAAGAATAACTTCTTATTGACAAAGTGTCATAAGTAATCATTAAAGTAATGAAGGTACAAAATACAAGTAAGCATAAAAGTGGAAGTATAAAAATTATAAAATTAGTCGAGACGAATAAGATGAGATTAATGTGTATAAACAAATAAGTCGCAAAAAAGTAAAACAAGTCTAACAAAAGTAAAAACATGCGCCCAAGGCGCTCATCAGTCTACTATACAAAACTATAAGGTAAAATACAAGACAACAAAGACAAATCATCAGTTTTACATTTAAAGCGAATCGTTAAAAAACTCATCCAAAGTGTAGTATGCCTTATCAAACAGTAACTCTTTGACACTTTTCCTAATTTTTCTCTCTGAATTTAGATCTTTGATATTCTGGGGTAAATGATTGAAAATTTTTTTTGAGTTATAAATCAGGGAATTTTTAACTTGTGTAGTGTTGGGCTTAGGAAGATCCAAATTACGAAACTAATCTATCTAGTAGGTTGCTATTAGTGATAGTGACAATTAAATTGGTATGACGCTGTCAGTTTGTGAATTTTCGAAATTGAATTAATACTAATTGTGTGTTGTTGTTCTGTTCTTAATTTGTTACTTTAATAATTCACTTGTTATTAAAATGGCATACACAAATGAGGAAATGGCTGATATGCATTACGTTTACGGTCTGTCGTAGGGGAATGGGTTAGAAGCTTCTAGAAGATATGCTGAAATGTATCCTCAACGGCAGCATCCTTCACATAGAATATTTGCTCGACTTCATCAATGATTACGAGAATATGGTTCATTTGACAAAAGAACGCAGGATTGTGGTCGCCATCGAGAAGTTCGAACACCACAGCTTGATGAAGCAGTACTTAATTTGATTGAAGAACAACCTACTACCAGTACTAGAAATATTAATTTCCAGCCAAATGTTGATCATATGACGGTATTTCGAATTTTGAAGGAACAACTCTTATATCCTTACCATCTGCAACGAGTACAGGCACTGTTACCGCGAGACTTTCCGATCCGTCTTGAATTTTGCAATTGGATGCTGGAATTGATTAGAAGAAAATGTGACTTTCTTAAAACGATAGAATTCACAGACGAATGTAATTTTACTCAGGACAAGATTATTAATTTTCATAATTACTACAAATGGGCTGATGAAAACCCTCAGGCTATTGTCGAAACTAACCATCAAGAAAAGTTTTCTCTCAACGTGTGGCTCGGAGTTATTGGGGATGATTTAATTGGGCCTCATTTTCTACCTTCTCTATTAAATGGTGAAGCATACGTACAATTTTTAAGAGAAGTGCATCCAGTACTGCTGGAGGAAGTTACTTTGGGCGTCAGAAGGGATATGTTTTTTATGCATGATGGGGCTTCCGCCCATTTCAGTCAAGTAGCACGTCAGCATTTAACTGAAACATATGCAAATCAGTGGATAGGTCGAGGAGGACCACAGAACTGGCCCACTCGATCCCCGGATCTCAATCCTCTCGATTCCTCTATTTGGGTCCATTTACAGCATTTGGTTTATCGTACTCCTGTTCGCGATGTAGAGGACTTAAGAAACCGCATCATCGATGCGTGCAGAGTAATCAGAGAGACTCCAGGAATATTTGAGCGAATACGTGGTTCAATGCGCCGATGTCTAGACGCATGCGTAATGTCTGAAGGTAGACATATTGAACATTTACTATGATTTCTACATTTTGTGTGTTTTGTTATTAATAAATCAGTTTTGTTTATTACCCTCTAATCGTTTAATGCAGGTATTAACTACAAAATAACAATAAATCCAGTTCGCATTTATGACGATGTATCTCTGTAGTTGTTCCTTAAATAAATTTTTGCTGCGAACTGTTTTATTTTGGGCAAAAAACCCAAGAGACATTTTTTGTTTAGAATGAAACAAGCTATCAGAAATAAAATTTTAAATGGTAAACAAATAATAAGACAAAAAATTACATTGGAAATAAATTTTAGGGGTTGCGTTTTCCACCCCTTACAACCATGGGGTAAAACAAATACATTTCTGGTTAAGTGTCTTTTTGGTAGTACAAAACGTCAGGTTAATTTCAATATTGTAACTTTTTCAGTGCTTGTGAAAAAAATTGTTATAGAAATTTTATGTACCCCCTTTAAGAGGCTGTATCTTAACAAGGAATGCTCCAGTGAAGTTTCTTTATATGAAAGATCCTATCTTTTTTTCGGTGAGGAATCACCTCCTTAAATGTTTTACACTCATTCAGTTACACCCTGTATATGTATTATTTCCTATATTTAACACTCATTTACTTTATCACTCAATGAATTGAATTAAATACAAATTTAAATTTCATTTCTATGTGCAATAATGGTATATCTTAGTGTTGTAAAGTACAAAATTCTTGGAAGTATGTGCTAGGAATCGCACGTTAAAAGGTAAGACCTCGTTAATCTTTAGCACGCACAAGTTTCAGCTTCTGAGAGTTGTCGTTCGTGGGAGACGACATCTGGTTAATGGAAAAACAGATTTTTTTTGTAACAGGATATATTTTCTGAAAAAAACTAACTATAAATTCCGTTCCTTTATTTTCATGTTCATTACAACTTGTGTTCTTCCTGTCATAAAATCATATGTTGAAGGTATTTCAAAAAGAGAAAACCAACGCACCCGCATGCTGCTCAAGGTCCTCGCAGTGTCAGACATTATCATCTATAGGACACGGGCGGAGCGCCTCCAACGGGACATGTACACCTTCCTGGGGTCAGCTTCGAAAGCATACAAAGACCATTTCAGTTCGGCTCTGAAGAGCGCTTTGGCTAAGAATGATGCAGAAAAGTTTTCGTCTGCCATCGGTCCGGGGGTGGTGATTTTCCACGAGACGCGTTACACGGACACTCTCCACGACAGTGCTAACGTGAAACAGTCCGCCGAAGACATTTTACAGACAACGTTCGCGGAACTCGGTTTACCTTTCGATGCGTTCAGTTTCCTCAAGTACGTCGGCGTGAAGACGACTCAGTCCGAAACGTCGTTCAAGGAGTTGAAAAATGTCCTGGTTGACAAGTTGGAGAGCACGGAGGTGAGGACGAAGAGGGACGCCAAGTATATTTTTTTGACGCTGCAGGTAAGTTTTCTTGTACTATTTTTAATTGGCCATTGGGATATTTCTATCACATCCATAGTTTTTGCTAACTGCAGTGAATGGCAGGTGACCTTGCAACTCCAAATTTAGTTTGTTCATTTCTCACATGTCCAAATTTGCACATTGCATTGCACATCATCATATAACTTCTAACGCCATACGGTATTTGATCATTGGGTCAGATAATCATGTGCTCTTGGTAGACAAATAATGATGCATATAACATTAACCGATTCTTTGGCAAACAGTTATATTTTATATGGTGGTTGGTATTGTTTTCGCAAGTCCACAGATACAGAGGCAGTAGCATTGGAGGGCGTCTCAAAAATTCAAACTGAAACTGGCAGTACTAAATAAATGTTGCTTCTTGTCTTTGGATTTGTGTAAAATATCTGATGACATATCCAAACTAATAAATTTTGGCATTAGGGGGAATGTCCTCAATTGGTTTGTGAGTTATATGTGACAGACAACATGCTTTCTTTAGAAAATCAAAAGTACCATAAGAGAAAATGATTTTGGGGCACCTTAAGGAGCTATTCTTGGTTCCACTTTTTTAATATACGCTGTTTGTATCGGCCAATGGGGAATGTTCCTCCTGGCGAAAATCAAGTAGTTTTCATAAAAGAGCTCTAAAACAACGCATTTTAAACTTATCATTTTAACCTTTTTCTTTAAAAAAATATTTGAATACTTAAAGAGGAATGAAATAATGCATTCAACATTTAAAGGGATTCGTTTCTATTTCACCATTTGGCAACATCGGTTATAGCTAATAAAGGACAATGAATCTGTTACCTGTATGAGGCAAACAAAGATGACATATTTCAAAGGCGTGCTGTTCTGTTTACTTATTTTCCGAGTTCCGAGACATTCTGTGACATATGACTTTTTGTGCACCTAACCGATCTTCCTCTATATAAATAAATAACAAAACAACTGTTGTTTATGTGGCTTGTGGAGGTGGTATTGAACTATAATTTATATTTGGCCCTAATTGTTGATTTATAAAGATAATTCTCCTTTTTCTAAGTAGAATATCTAGGTACGTATACATTATTTCAACTTGATATAGGCGCTGTTGCCAATATGTGAATTAGAAACAAATCCCCTTAAAAATTAAAACCCAACATTTGAAACATCAATTTGAATACTTTCCAAAGTGAATTTGAAAAACTCATTAATTAAACTCAACTTTGTTTTGTTCAAACTTGCATTTGCTATAATAACCCAAATTGAGAAACATTCCCCATTCCTTCACATGAAAAATCCACATAGAAGTTACTTTTATTTTTCAGAGTTTGAATGAAAAATTCAAGAACAATATCAGCGGTCCCTCTCCCCAACTGTACTTACCAGCATTTTTTACGTGCTCCGAAAAATGTCAGTCTTGTAAAAGTACTTGTAGTCTCTCTATGGGCCACAAAGAGGAAGGAGAACCGCATAGGAGCGACCAGGATTGTACCTATCAGCACCAGTACCAGAATCACGTGTATTTATGTAGAGTGAGTAGTTGTTGCAACAAAAAAATCAGATTCGAGAGGTTTGGTGATCCGATAATTGATAAAATGTTGTTTTTGTTGAGAAATTTTCGTAGATGAACAATTCAGTTTTTGCCAACGTTTCTATTAGGGCTCAAACTTGGGTAAACTAATGTTTGACCACTGATGATGGATTTAATTAAGTCCAGTACGTTGGCAAAATCTGAATTGTTCTTATACAAATCCATTTTATTCCTTTCCCAACAAAAACAATTGAGAAAAATGTGAAACTTTTCATCTGTGTGGAAAGCTGTACATTTTGTAACACTTTACTTTGTTCTAGGCCTGTTACAATAACGGTCAGAGAATTTCTGTCAAGCCGAATTATCAGACGATGAATGACAACTCTTGGAGCGGTTATTTTACTTATGTTTGGTCTGGTTACGTCATTGAGTGTCCGAAATGTGGAGAGATTTATAGAAGCCGACAACATTGGTATGGAAATAAAAATCCTGAAGAGAGTGCAGTTCGAACGGAAATAGTACATCTCTGGCCAGGGGTGAGTTTTCAGAAGTTTTTATGTAAAAGTATTTCAATGTTGAGTTTTTATCATAATTCATAAACTAACTCAAATTTTTTTCACACAACTAACAAACGGTAGATTCAAAATCATTTGTTCCTCTTAAAGCTCATTTCTGAATCTATTGGATACAAACTACAAAGAAAATAGTGTATCTTACATTTGTTTCAACAACCAATTCAGCCTCATCAGAATGGAGTTGAATTTTATCTCATTGGAAGAAACATGAAATTAACCATGTGAATAAAAATTTCATTCTGTCCATAAAAATATACATTGAAAAAATTGAACAATTGATAATAATAATAATTGGTAGTTATCTAGTATCGAGAGTTGAATATAATTGTTCATGTTAACAATATTAACATGTGTCAACATTTTAGAAACCTATCTTGTATAAATTTAATATTGTTTATATGTATTCAAAATTAAAAAACGATTCATTTATTGGGCTGAGTGAGATCATATATGGAAGACCACAGTCTAATAGTTAGCTGCAATGGTATTTTATTGAGTCTCAAAGATTTAACGCTAGGAGTACCTCAAGGTTCTGTCATAGGACCATTGTTGTTCCCCAACTTCATAAATGACATATCTGAAGTATGTTCTGAATGTGTCATAACCATGTTTGCACATGACACGCAATTACTGTGGCCGGCAAAAACGAAAAAGAGTTATCAGACCAAATAAATACAACAGTAGATAAATTCAGTGCTTGAGTCAAAGCAACAAACTCATTCTGAATAAATCGAATTCTATTTCAATGAAATCATTTATTAGGAGAGATTTCACCATTGATTCTTACACAATAAACGGTATTCAATCATCCAGCGAAGTCATGTTTTTAATAACGTCTTTGGACGAAAATAAAACTTGGGCAGTCACATTCAAAAAGTCAGCAACAAACTCAATTCTGCATATTATTCAAACACACAGATTAAATACACTCTAGTTAATTTTGGATTGTTTACTTTTCTATGGCTTATTCTCACATTAGCTTTAATATCATGTCTTGGGGACATGCCAAGGAGTTCCCAAGACATTTTGTTGCTCAGAAAAGGCTGTTGAGATTAGGATAAAAGATGGTGGTCGATTGGCGAGAGGTCTGGGAAGTATGGTTGGTGAGGCGATGCTCATTTAGTTTAATTTTCGGACGATGATTTGTGAAACATGCGATCCAATCCAAAAAAGGATCTTTTTGGTTGTGCAAAAGCAAAGAACACTCTGAACAAAATTTTTCAAACCAGCGTCTAACAGTACATTCATTAACACTATATTTGTTAAGTGTCTGTTTTTTTTCGGCAGCGCTTTGGCTCGATTTGAATTTGTAGAGAAAACATTTGTTGAAAATTGCCTAACAACGTCATAAGTTAAAAGCAAACAATTAAAATTTGGAAAAAATGAACAGCATCAATGTACAGAGTATAAAATTATCTATCGATTAGTATACGCCACGACACAGTCTAATAAATATTTATTGAAATGTGGAGCTACAAATACACATGACATTGAAATAGACAAAACTTTTGAAACAAGCTAATATATCTTTTGCTTTTTAATAATGTTCTATTTTTTTGTATTTTATTAGACTTGGCACATATACTCAGTGCACCAAATTACCAAATGAATAAATAAATAAATTACTAATTGATCAACTAACGTGCATTAGCAATATATACATTAACATGTACATGTGGAAGTAATATAAATCATTTTATATACATCCTATGCTTCAAAATTGAAATTACAGTCGACCTTCTGCATTGAAGCAAATAGAAACAGTGCTTATATTCAAAAACAAGTGTGATGAATTATCCAATAAATAATATTACACAACTTTTCATGTATAAAGATGGGGAAGAGAAAGCTAAAAAACTGTTTTCCAAAAACTGATATCTCCTGAAAATATACCCCTTTCAATTGCATTAGCTTCTGACTGGAAAGTATAATACTCCAACTTCACTAAATCAATTTTGAAAATACATTTATATCTGCTATCAAATATTTGTATAAAAATTTCATAACAGAATGCCCCGTTAATCATTGTTTATATTCATTACATAAATTATCACTTCGGTTTTATTTGTTATACTGGATGAGTCAAAGGTCTGTTTTCCAATGATAATGAGCAACATATTCAAATTTTCAAATCTTTCAACAATAGGTTTATGTTTTTCACTTAGGTTTATAACTAAAAACTATTTTGTGACAATAATAATGAACAGAAATAGTTTGAACGATAATCCACATTTGAAGTTCATAATGGAAGTCTATGTTCTGATAAAAAATATATTCAGTTTAATAAAATAATTATAATAACAATTTATTTCCCAAAAAATATACAATGTTTATACCAAGGAAAAACGAACAATAAAAAAAACAAAAAAAAGGTTAACTAATAATACAATTAACTGTATTTGTTTGAAAATGTCCTTATAAGACGAAACTGCAATATGGTTAGGTACAAATACAAGTGGTAAAAAAACAAAAAAAGGTTTAACTAATTTGCTTGAATAAAAATGTAAGAAATATATATATATAAAATATTGATAAAATAATAAAATAAGAATTTTTTTTAGATTTTTTAAATCCTATTTTGCTGACTTTTTCAAAGAATTTGGTAAATTATATAATCTAAAACTACTCAAATGAATATATTATTTATTAATATACAATCTATTATTCAAAACCCTTATATTTTTAGAATGCCTTGTTAATAAATATTTATGTTGATCACTAATTATTTCGAAAATCAAATTTGGAATGTTTCAGTTTGTCTTTTGCCGAGTGAATGAAGGTGCAAAATTTGAATTTGTATATCATTGATATGTTTAATATAATTTTTGGTTTGTATAAATTATTATTTGGTTCTTTATAATCTAATTTGAAAATACAATTTATAACTTCATTCTGCAGTATTTTCAGTGGTTTGAGTAGAGCATTCGATACTGTTCCCCAAATTGATATCGAATACTGTTTGAGAAACAATTCTTCAATTCGATTTTTTTTAATATTGAACTTTTCTTAACTAACAATCTTCATTCCGCTGTCTATACTCACAGATACATCCGAAATTTGACGTAATTATGTCAACAATTCAATAATGTAGACTAGAACAAATATTTTTGTCTCGACAGTCTATTTATTATATACTCTATTAAAAAATAGGACTACTCTTATTATCAGGAGCGCTCCTTGCTCGGATCCCAGAATTCAGCGCAGAAAGTGTTGGACAGCGTAACAATGTTCACAGACGCCATTTCTAGCGTAGGATCTCAACCCAAACAGCTGATTAGCGATTGGGCAGCCGACAAAATCGCCCCTAGCTATTGGAGACCTAATCATGAAATCAAGGTAAGTTATATGTTTCAATGAAATTAATGCAATGTGTAATATTTTGATTTTTGTTACTACATTGTGCATCAGGAGTATATAAGTTGACTTGTGGTACTTGCCCAAAACTTTATATTGGCCAAACGGGGAGAACTTTTTCCCAAAGAATGAAAGAACATAGGATTAGATTCTCAAATGTGAAAACTACTTCCACATTTGCAAACATCTTTTGGCGACTATGACTCAATCTTTTGGAATACTTGGAAATTGATGGATTTTAGAATTTTGAAAATTCACTTAATGACCTGATAGAATTGAATTTTTCGCCTCTGTTGAATCTGGTTTTCACTGTGGAAATTGGTAATTAGTTTATAATATGTCCATTAAATGAGTTAGTAAGATTTCTTTTTTAATTAATTTATTCAAACCCATATAAAATTATTTGTCATCAATTATTTAGGTCATATGATCTAAACAGTAATATAAAGGTAGAATTTAGTTAGTATGAACCCGCCTGAGGAAGCTGTTGAATAGCGAAACATGTGTTGGTGTTTTGTGAACTGTCCAGTGAAAATCGCACAATAAATTGTTTCTTGAACACATTTTCCAAATGGTGTGATTACTACATCATGTCTAATTAAAATTGAAAGCAATGAGCCGAGAATAACACCTCCTGCTTGTATGCTTTCAAGATTTCCGATAATCGTTACCACTATTCTAACAGTCGAAGGTAGATATTATTGATTCCATTCTTCCAAACATTTTTTGGTTAACTCACCAATAACATTGCTCATTTTTTGTATACAAAGACAAAACAAACAAATCTCCATTATTGGATAGATCGGGAGTATATAAGTTAACTTGTGGTTCTTGTCTAGAACTTTATATTGGACAAACGGGAAGAACCTTTTCCCAAATAATAAAAGAACATAGTTTCTTTCTTGAATGTAAAGACCAATTCCGCATTTGCAAACTACACTTTGACAAAGGAGCATGAGTTAAACCACAAAAGATTGAAACTCAATCTTTTGGAATGTTTAGAAATTAACTAAAATTTACTGAGTGATCAAATGGAATTGAACTCTTCACCTCTTCCGAATCTGTTTTCTAAAGTGGAAATTGGTAACTAGTTTATTCCATTAGTCCATTTGATGATTTTGTTGAACTTTTCTTTTATGATCTTGAATTTTTCCATCAGTTTTTTTGCATAAACTCAGGTAAAATTATTATTCAGAAAGTAGGTAGAATATGAAATTGTAAATATATAAAGCACACATTGTAATTAGTTTATTACATGCCCATTTAATAAGTTGGTAAAATTTTCTTTTATGATGTTTGAGAATTTTTAATCAGTTACTCAGGTGAAATAATTAGTCATTACCTAGATAGCAGGTCATAGGATCCAAATGTTTATTATCATCGGCGGCTCGTCAGAGGAGGCAAGGGAGGCTTGGCCTCCCCATAAAATTTAAGGCTATTCATCGCAATAAATTAAAAGATATTGACAAATAATTATGATCATTTTTTTCTAAAAATGCTTGGGTATCATTACTTTACCATTAATTTTTAATATAAATACATAATATGCCCGAAAAAACACTATCGCTCACTACGTAGTACGTACCACACTGTATCCTGCATCAACAAATGTCAAACGCACCGCCCATGAACGAATAACGAATAAACCATCAACCCGAAATAATAAATGCCATACGTTGCAAGGGAGCCAAGCCTCCGACCGTTTTAAAAAACACAAGCTTCGCGAGGCCGATCCAACCAGCGACATACGTCCCGATTTGTACTTTTAGTTGCAGAAATTATAGCGTTAGGGGAGGCTAGCCTCCAGTTGGTCTACGTTAGTGTACAGTTGCGTTTGTTTTTTATTTAATTATTCGGACGGGATGCCGTGACGAACCGGGACTGAAAAATATTTCGGTAAATCGTTTTAGTGTTTCTTGATAATATTTGTTATTTGTGTATGAAACAGGCAGTATTGTATTACAGCAGTGTTGCAGCAGTGTATTACAAGGTGTTTTCAGGTTTTCACTTTTCGGTAAGTTTTTTTTCCATTTAATATGGATAAGTTGGACGAAATTAAAAAATCTGACGATATAGTCAATTGGTTGCTGACAAGTAATTTTAGGTCTTTATCTTATGATAATAAATTTTACATTATTAAAACTCTGGGAAGGCCTCAACCAAATTTGATTTCAACTAAAGCGTCAGATAATCGACAAAATCGAGGATTTAATATAAGAAGATACGATAAATGCGATTGGTTAACCGGCTCCATTAAACGAGAAAAACTTTTTTGTTGGCCCTGTGTTTTATTTTCCGTACAAACCGGATACCAAACGTGGTCTAAAATAGGATACTCCGATTTGAAAAAATGACCTAGTTCCACAGAAAGACATTTTAAATCTAAGGAGCATATATTTTCGTCTTGTAAATTAAAATTGTATAGCAAACAAAATATAGATACAGCTCAAAAAGAGGCCATAATTTCTTTTAATAATCAGGTAAGGTAAATTGGTCGAATTTAAAAAGACTTATCGATATTACGATTTATTTGGGTTCCCCAGAATTAACTTTTCGCGGACACAATATGATTCCCAATTTGGCACTTTTTTAAACGGTAACGCTTTTTCGGGCGCCTCAAAAACCATCCAAAATGAGCGTATACACAGTGTGGCTTATATTATTGAGGAAAATATAAGCAAGGAGATTGAAAGTGTTTCTTTTTTTGCATGGAAAATTGATGAAACTACCGATATTACCTGTACATCACAATTTTCAATTATTTTTAGATATGTCAAAGATAATCATAATTAAGTACTTGTGCTTATAAAATATTTGTAGCAATTTTTAACAAAACTGTTAGAAAAGAAAAGTATTATTATTTATTGACTGAGAAGAGTTCATTTATATTAAATAACTCAAAGACAACCCTTTTTCCTTGTTTTTGTTTTTTTAATGGTCAGTTTTATACGTATAATTTTTGGCAATACACAATGTTTGTTTGAATTTATGCAAATATTACGTATTTTGCTTTAAATAGGTGCGGTACCCCAAAAAATTTTCTCGCTCCGGCAGGTTTTTTTGTGTGTATACAGTCTTTATGACTTTAGCCTCCCCTGCTCTCCAATGCACGAGCCGTCACTGTTTATTATATAAAGCACAAATTATGTAGACTTTAATCAATTGAAGAAGCTGTTGTATTGCGAAATAAGTGTTGCAGTTTTTGCAGTTTTGTAAACTGTCCAGTGGAAATCTCCCAATAAAGTGTTAATTGAATTCGAACTTTAATTTCAGGAATGTTCCAAGTGCGGTTCAAAGTTCCAGCCGACCGACAAAAAGCACCACTGTCGTGCTTGCGGCGAAGGTTTCTGCGAGAACTGTTCCTCGAAACGCCAACCGGTCCCTTCGAGAGGTTGGTATGAAGACGTCAGAGTGTGCGACTTCTGTTACATGGATCAACCACCGAGCATATCGACCGCCGTCGACGGAACCGAAAACAGAGCCAGGCAGCTTGGAGAAACAGTCATCAACTCGATTTCCGTAGTGAAATCAACAGTATTTGACATCCCGAAGGACTTCATCAAAGAATCCGCCAGGCCGTCTTACTGGGTGCCGGACGCTGACTGTATCGAATGCGCGGTGTGTTTCGAGTCGTTCGGGTTTCTGCAACCTCTCCACCACTGCAGGGACTGCGGAAAGGGAGTCTGCGACGAGTGCTCGAAATCCAGGAAACCGGTCCCGCTCAGGGGTTGGGAGAAACCCGTGAGGGTGTGTAACAATTGTCGATGATTTCCGGGGGTTTTCCAGTTGAGCATGAGCGAGAGGAGGTAGAAATGGGGGTTGTTATATATATAGGCGAAGTAGAAGCATCACGGGTGGGGTCTTAAAGTTTTGTAACTGTATTTTTAGGTCGAAGAGATTGAACGAGATGAAAGTGAACAAGAATTTCTTTAAAGTTTTATTTGCTTGAAGTAAGTTATACGAAGACAGGGTTGGGATTGCATTTACATTGATCAATAAAATTCCATTGCTAGGGGCTCCTTCTGAATTTATCAGCGTTTCATCAAAGCTATTGTTCGAGTTTGTTGGCCGTGATATGCAGCTTTTTATGCCTGGCGTTTTGTTGTCTACAAAGGCGATAGACTTTGTCAAAGACGAGGAGGTAACCAATGAGGTGCTCTATAGCACATTGTTCGAAGTTCAGGTCTCTCCAGAGGTAGATGTGGCTTCTTTCTTATAGATTGGGCTAATTGGTCTGATTTGTGTATTGTAGAGGGTAGCCAGACTTTATTTTTGGTAATTCCCTCTTGTAATTGAAATTGTTTTTCTGTCCTCGAATCTCTTCAAATTCAAAAGCACTGATAAATATTCAACAGAAATGAAGAGAGGAGTAACATAAACAAAGTTTCGCTACATTCATTAAATAATACATCAATCAGGCCAAATATACCAGCCAAAATGAAGGAATCCACACCCACCAGCGAATAAAATCGGCGACCCGAACCTCGAACATTGTGATATATTCTGTGAGGATAACTAGGACATTGCATCGTTTACCTCATTGCCTTTGATAATATCGACGCCGGTGATGTAGACGAAATGTCAGGTATAAAAACCTGCATACCAAAAAGCCAAACACCCGCAAAATAACTTTGACACAATTATTTCCGGCCGGGAAACTTACATTTGTTTTGTCTGCAACTGCGGCAGAGACATTTTTTAAAGAGATGGTGCAGCTTGGGTTGAATCAATTTCCCTTCTTCGAACCATGGGTGAGTATTAACATGATTGATGAAAACATTGAATGTTGAAATTACTAGAGTACAAAGCTTTGTACTCCTGAGAATATCAGTGTTTTTATCTGCCATAATCGGTTTAGTCTTTCAAGCTGCTTGTTGATTGGAGAAAACTCATCAGACAATGATTGGTGAACGTTTTACATAAAAAGAATTGGAAACTAGTGTTGAGAAAAGATTTTTGTTACTTTTTATCATAATGACAACTCTGTCCCACATAACAGTATAACACTAATAAAACATTCTCCAACCTACTTCAAAGTATTCACACTCGGCAACACGATGCTACCAACTTTTGAACACTACACTAAATTGAAACATGAGCGTAAGCATATGAAATGTTAGTAACTCAGTACAATAATTACCATTATTGTTCATTTTTATTTTGAAAATCAGAGTTGAACAATAGCCTTCTATATGAGTTCAGTCATTAAACGCCCCTCTCTAGTAGGTTCAGGCTTACAGGAATATTAATTTTGCTATTTGTAACCAGAGATATCACTTCGATTGAATGCTGCATCTGCCAAAATGTCTGCAACAGTTGCAGAGAAATCTTAACTTCAGTATACAAACCTGTAAGAAGTCAATATTTCACTGAACAAGGCGACTCTTCGTGAACTGTGTTGATAATTATCATGAAAGATATAAATAAGAAAAGTATGAAACTTTTCAGCTGAAATAGTTTCCGGAGCTTTTTGGGCTGTACCAAAAGTAAATTTGGAGTTTCATTATTTTATATGCTACAACCTATAATTTATTAGACATTTAATGAAATCGTCCTGAAATGTCACCCTGCATATCAAAAGTTTACAACAACAAAGATGAACGGATCAAAATATTTTACTTGGAATTTTTACCGTTTCATCCGGGGATATGGGATAGATTTTGATATGGATTGAAAACTTTGGGAGATCTAATTTCCTGAATTAAAATACCTTCTGCTTGAGTACAAAGGATATTTATTTGTTAGAGAATGAAGACGTATTCTCCTAACTGTTGTATTTTGATATTTTTTATCATTTGAACATTTTTACATGTAGTTGTTCACCCAACAAATGGAGCTGTAAAACAACATGAGCCGCAACAATTTTCACACAGACAAACAATTTTGTCTGTGCTTTTTGGACAGGTCAACCCACATTTCACTCTTATTGTACTGTCATGTGTTTGTTTGTTTTGATTTTCCTCCTCAGCGAATAAACAAATGATGGTTAGATAATTGTTGTGTACGTTCAAACTTCCCAGCGAAATTACTCAACATATTCAATTTTGATGGTATTCTTTACCTAGAAATTAATATTTCAAAATAAAATCTAGAAATATTCATCTCTCCCAACTACCTACACCGTCAGATAAATGTCTGCTGGAAAACAACATCCAGCATGGTATTAGCCTACGATGTAGGTAGTTTAGAGAGATGAATGTTTCTAGATTTTATTTTGAAATATTAACTTTCTAATGCGTATGTATCTCTCCTCAATACAGTCTTCAAACACGTTTTGATCTCTGTTGGGGTATTAGTACATAGGATGTTTCTTTCCCGCTTGGGGCTTTGTTCACGAGATGGAGCTGCTATTAGTGAAATTAATCGAGTCCCACACACTTCCTGTTTGGGTCGCATCTTTCCTGCACTGATAAGAGATAATACCTCAAAACCGGTCTTCAGGTGATCTACTCGAACAATTTCAGTACGGTCCTGCTGGTGGATGAACGAGAAACACCAGCGAGACTAACCTCTGTGAGTTTAAATGTCTATCGAATATAATTCAATATCCCGCTTGGTATTAGCCGAGGAAGTAGTTGTTTTCCGGGAGGAATTTACCATTTTATAAATTTTAAGCTTTCAAATACCGTATATGTACAAACCACAGGCGTTAAAACATAACTGACCACTCCGACACTGTAAGAATCGAGCCGATGGCAGTTAAATCTGACTGGTCAGCATGAGGAGGCTTGTTTATTTCACTCAATAGATGCAAATGTGCGTGTTGATCATGCTGGCGTGTTTTCAAGTTAACTTTGCAAACACGCAAATCACATGTGGTCACTCCGTTTGTTCGGTGAACAAACTGAGGTGGATGTAACTTTGTTGAATTCAAAATAATCTACAGGAGAAGGGGACTGATTTTCTAAAGCCTATTGTATACCTTTATCGATCACAAAAAAATTGCTTGAAAATGCATAGGGTAATTCTGAAAGCCCTAAAGACTGAATAATAGCGAGATTAAAATCAAATTGTGTTAGTTTTTCTTGGCAGAAAAACCTGTGTTTTTGGAGATAAAGTCGGTATTGTATAAGGAATAAGCACGACTTGAAAGTAGTTTGTTTCGTTGTTACAGTCTCAAGTCGAACAAAAAATGTAATGTACAACGCTAAAGTGTTTTTTGGCTTCATCACTTATTTTACTCTTTCTATACCACCGTAACAAGACTTTTTGAATTATTATTGTGACAAATTACTTGTAAACAAATCAGGTGGCTACATGTTTTATAATTCCTATCTATATGCATACCAGTTCAACATGAAATTGGTGAACAATTCACCATATTGTCATGAAACAGAAGATTTTTACTAATCATTTAGTTGAAAACCTGATTAGTTGAAATTATCTTTCATTATTGTATCTCTGATGTACAAAATTTCATTAAAAAAATTAATAACTTATTGAATTTGAAAGATTTAAAAATTGACTTTTTCAATTAGAAACCAAATAAATCACAGGTTTAGAAAATTTTTGACAAACAATATATTGTCAGTTGATGAATGAAGGGGTTTCCCAATAAATTTTATTAAGTATACACTTCTAATTGAAAAATTCTCAAGAAATATATAGACTTTTCGATGCTGAACACAATCTCATAGTCAGTGTGCTGTTTTAAAATAAACAGTGTGAACAATTAAATATAAGTGTATTTCAGCCATTTTTAAGTATACGCTTATGATTTATAATTGCACAGAGAATTGAGAGCCCTAATTATGAATTACCTAAGAAATTTGGCTTCATGACTAAAGTTGAAATATTTATTGCATTTTGTTGTCTACTGTGTACACCTCAACAAAACACATTTTTAATGCATCTGTCAAACATAACCTTAAAAAGTGGAAATATAACAAAATTTAAAATATTTAACCTAAAATTATTGTGAAACTTGACATGATATATTTATTTTGTGTATATTGTTACTATTCAAAACTAAAATAATTCAAAACTTGAGAAAATTATTTAAATATTTATTAGTTTAATTCTTCATTCCTCAAATCTAGTAAAAGTACAAACATACAAGTACAAGATCATGAGAATTTGAAACTTCAAATTTTATTGTTATTAAAATTATAGAAAATGTTTCAATATGCAAAAAAATGGAAAAAGTGTGAGTAACAAAATGTGAATGATACAGTAAATTTATTAAAATAAATATTGTTAATGTTATTAAACTAACAGTATATTTGTATATGAACCTTGTTGAGGAAAAATGATTCTATTTTAATAACATATAGGTGAAAATTGGTTCTAAACAATAATTATGGAACTGTTGGTATTTCTCCTGAATTTCAAAAGGAGCTTTTTTGGAGTGTTCGCAAAAGAAGAAACTGAACCAATGGCATTAGAACTTGAAAAACCTTCAAAGTACTTTGTGACAGATCATTTTGAACTTTTTATCCTTCTCATTTGATCAGGAACTAAGAATAATGCCAGTGGAAACGTGATTTTGATAAAGAAATCTGTGATTATTGTGCTCTTCAGTTATTGAGATGACACCAACCTCAGCCTGTTATGATGAAATGGTGAACTGTTTCCAATTTTTCTTGGTAGCCAAATATGTAAATCATGTTACTGAAACTTGTCCACAAGTCTTGTTTCATTAAAGGGTATCTGCTTGTTATGTAATCTGTGGTTGGTTTATGAGAGAGTTTTTTAAGTTATAGTTATCTAAGTAATATAATAGGGAAGTGAAATGATACAAATAATTGTCAAGAACATGTGGTAAGTTGAGCTGTACAACCTCCTCTCCTACATACAACTTACAAACATTGGAGATAATGTGTGACTTGTTATTTTCATTTTTATACACGATTTAATCGGTTTTATTTATAATTGTTTTGTTTATTTTAATATTTTTCTAAGGTTAACTAAAAGTTGTGAATTTATAAAAGTGTTGATATTTTGAAAATATTGGATCACACCGGTGATTATCGACATTTGAAAGATATTATTACTAACCTATTATAAAAAATTTAATCGAATTTTATGTTTCATTCAAATGCCTTTTTTACTCACTGTATTTTTCCAATTTTTTTTCACTTTTCGCATCCTACCTAACTCATATCCTCTACTCCTTTCTTAGGCTGTGGTTCTAAGTTCTACCAGAAAAACTGCTATTTTCTCAAAATGCTTTATTTACTGTTATGTTATTGAATTTGTAACACAAGTGATAGTTTCTTGACATTTTTGATAATCAAATATGTACATGATAATTTTAATTTTTGGGAAAAAAGGTTCTGGCTTTCCATTTCTCCATCTGTATAAAAAAAATGTGGGAGTCTTACAAAAAAAAAGATTAATTAATTTCAAAATGGACTGTATACAAGGATATGTAGTTCATTCAAGAAAGTAACTTTCAGACACAAACTAGCTCTATTAAGAACTATTTTATATAAACATTAAATTATAGGAAAGAAAAAATACTTGAGAAACAACTACTTTTATATGACAAAACACAATCACTAGATCTTTCAAAACAACCGGAAACATAAATTCACGAGGGTTTATTTTGATAACTTGCTTCAGATTTTTTTTGATGAAAATCACAGACTTTTTCAGATGTTATTTGTGGAGGTACTTTGTGTTACTATTGATATTTATGGGCTTTTACCTGAATACTTCAAAACAAAAAATAATGACATTTCAGAAATAAATGTGTACTCTTTCTCAAACTATTGAGAACTTTGAAAATTGCATTACAAATGTCAATATAATATCTTTTGAAATTAAATAAGTTTTGCATACTCATTAAGAATTCCACTTGGTGTAAATTCAAAATTAGTTGACATAAATCCAAAACAAACACTTCAAACTAACAGAACTGCAACACTCTTTCACTAACCGTCTTCAGGACATGAAGTCCACTTTGTGAAGACGCAAGCAACTTTATTCAATTTTCTTTATATTTCATTCATATGTGCTCCATCTATTTTTATTCTTGATGTCGTAAAAAGGCTTTATTTTTAAGGACAGAACACAAGTACTACAGGAAAATCCTTAAGGCTCTCTAAGAGCGGGTCTTGTGCGAAAGTAGTGATTCACCTGTTCATTTGCAAAAATGTTCTCAAGAAGTATATTCCACATACACGCAGTTCTTACCAGTATGTGTTCGACCACACATACATAAAACACTTAACACCATTTTTTGACTTCCAACATCCAACATGTTGGCGGCCGATCTTGTGTTGGTGGTTTATCTTGTGTTGGTGGTTGATCTTGTGTTTGTGGTTGATCTTGTGTTGGTGGTTGATCTTGTGTTGGTGGTTGATCTTGTGTTGGTGGTTGAATTTGTGTTGGTGGTTGATCTTGTGTTGGTGGTTGATCTTGTGTTGGTGGTTGATTATGAGTTGGTTGTTGATGTCGTGTTGGTGGTTAATGTTACTGTTGTGATGGTTGTGGTAGTTATGATAGTGGTTATTGTTGTGCTGAAGGTCGCTGTTTGGATATGAGTTTTCTTATTCACAAAACTTTCAAGGATAGGCAAACTTCTTTAATTTAGGCGATTTAATATCCATACATTTATAATAATGCTTCTTTGTTTGTCATTACCAGCAGTGGTATAAAAACATTATATTGACACTGAAACATTTCAATAATTTTGTTAATATCTTTATACGTTTTCTTCTTTGATGTTGCAGTAAGTGCTTTCCTTTTTTCTCATATAATTCAAATAACAGTTGCTTTAGCCCTCGATATATGACTGCAGATCAGTTGGAGGTAATAAAACAAAGCCAAATGCTTAGCAAAAATGTTATATATAAAAAAAGATTCTCGGCCTTGTCGTTCATAAGTACATTCACAGATTTCTCTTATATACATATACTAACAGCGATAAAAACAATTACAAAAATAAAACAACTAAAATCTATCACGAATAAAGAGCTGTCCTAGTTACCAAATAAGTTAATACTGCAAATTAAATAAATAAACTAAAACTAGTGGCAAATCATTTAGTCTTCACGTTTAAAAAAATATTCTTACATACACGAATTAGTTGCATCAAAAGTTCAGAATTATATAAGCTTTGCACAAATCAGTAATTTTTGGAGTTTGATTGATACCCTCATTGAATAATTTCGTGTAGAAAGAGAGTAAACCCTAAAGAAATGTTTGTATAAAAAGTTTATCCCAACTGATGATTTGTGCAATTACCCTACTACCGAATCTGTTACTTAGAGAGAAAGTATACAAAGCTTTCGAGAATATTATGTAGAGTTCTTTTTTTTTCCCACAAAATGATTTTGTAGTAGGTAAATAAGTTGGAAAAACCTACATTTTTATCAATAGACCAGCTAAATTTGGGTTCAGGTTGGATGATAAATAAAATAGTCAAAGCTTTGTAAACTTCATTCTTTAACAGAAAAACTCTAATAGGCTGATGAAAGTGTTATATTAAAATGAAGATCAAAATGAAAAGTATCTACTGGAATAAGAATCAAAGTGCATATAAATCGATGGAAATAGTTATTCCAGTATTAGAATTGTAGCAAAAAAATGATAGACCTCATAAATTATGTGCTATATGTAGGAATGGGAAAACAGTGCTCTAATGATTAATTGCTTTGTAATTAAATAGGTTTCTTAGCAGAAAAAAATTAATTACTAGCACTGACATTACCCAAAACTTTGAGTCAACTGTAATATTTAGTAAACTTGAAAGAGGGAGGCTAAGAATAAATTAATTTATCTCTTACTTTTTCTTCTGAAATTAATTAGTTCCTATTCGAAGAAGTGTCTTGTGTATTATGAAATTTAATGAAAAAAGCATAAAAATTTACTATCAATAGTTTTTGAATGTTTCAAGTACGCACCCAGAGAAGATATAAATAGAATTATCAAACAAGCTGAGCTGCAAATGGAGTGACAAACGTCCTGCAATATTTTTCGGTTCAGGAAACCTAATTTCCTACATTGCATCCACTAGTATAGCTTCAGTCACCCTGCATTAGACCCGAAATCTGTTTGGAATCTATATATTCCTCATACCAACAACTGACAAGATTATTATGACTTCCTTGATCTCCTATTCTAACCCACGCAACCAGGGGCGGCTTTACCCATAGTGCAGTGTACCCGTGCTCCAGGTCAAGAGCCGCTCACGACAAATGGAGCCTCATTGTAACGCTCCACATGAAGCGGGCACCTGCTCGTACAAATACAGTGGGTAGTTATAAGAAAATTGCAAACCATCATGCACGGGTGCCTGTCACCTACATCCACTTTCTCACAGCGTATAGACATAGAGCCTACACACTTTCGCAATGTCCATTAACAAATTGATCAGTTATTTTAACACCTCGACACGTGTTTTGATCACCAAGTGATCATCTTCAAGAGAAAGAAATTCCAATGATATTCAAATTGATCAGTATCAAACATGAAATTCAAGTCAGTGAAATTGTCAGATTTTGCTAATGTAAAAGCACCAAAAGTAACTTTTTTGCAATTATACTAAGTTATACAAGTATCCTGTAATGATTCGTTTATAAACTGAATATTTTGAAATAACTATATAGTTGCCTTTTTTTATTTGTAATCCCTCCTGTCCTAAAAATATACTTTTTACTCATGTACCAACGGTTAACATGCCAATCTATCAAAAAATTTCAAGTTTCCTCTCAATAAATTGTCAAACTTCCTGGCAAGAAGAGAAAGTTCATTTTCAATGAAAAACTTTTGACAGGTTTGGATAGGTTGCTCTATCGCCATGTTCACTGTAACTGGTTTCGTGGTAAAACAGTGATATTAAGCTTGCGAAGAGTGGATAGGATGGTACAATTAGGGTTTTACAAATAGACATAACCATATGGGGAGTGTTATATAGGAAAAACCTTGGGCGACTAATAGAAACAATACAGGGTGTTACTGATAGACAAACGCATATAAGTAAGGAGGGATAAAATAAAAGAATGGATGTCAGACATGTAATTCTATCGGTCAATCAGTAATTAACTGATTGACTAATAGAAAACTATATACCTGATAAGGTGTATTCAATATAGAAAAAAACATGGCCAACCAATATAATGAGTGGCAGACAATGGCAGCCCATATACAGGTTGTATCTAATGAATAAAATCATATAAGGTACACAAGTTCTGAGGTCGTATCATATGGTATCTAGTTATTGGCTCTTCCACAATTTTGTTCGTCTGTGTTATCAAACTCTCTTTTATTTTGTGATAACTTACCAGAATATTCTATTGAAACACTTCATCAGCCTGAGATTCAAATTTCTTAAGGAGTCAATAACCGCTTCATATTCGAAATTCGATATATACAAATTTTACTATGTACAATTCAAATGTACAAAAGTTTGACCACAATAGAAACGTCACAGTTTATCATTCATCACACGTAAGGCAACTGCCGGAACTCGAAAATATCACTGGGGTAATAATTTAAAAAATTGTTTCAGTTCTAATAAATCACATATTTTTTGTATCAGGATTGACTATACGTAGTTCTCTCCTGACGATAAATTTTCGGAGGACGGTGGTTTTTTGTGCTTGTTCTTATCTTTATTCCTGCTACTTTTATTTTTCGAGTTGTCGGGAGATTCTTGGGCGCTCGACGAAGACTCTTGCTGCGAGGAGGCGCAGTTGTTATTCTGCGCAGTTAGACAAGACATCTCAATCATGTTCTGATTCTGGAAAACAACCGAGCTAGAAATTTCTGGAAATAAGATGAAATTAACCTAGGTTTAGTTGTGAGTAATAAAAACAATAAGCAATACACAAAACAGCTATTAGTGGTTAGTTTGAAGCAAATTCAAGAAAAGCCATTCTTAATCTACATTAAGTGTCTCTCTGTATTGTTTGAAAACTGCTATTTCATCAGAACTCTTTTGACCAGCGGTAAAAATATAATAAAGGTAAATTAAATTCAAACATTCGTGTGTTCATTATCATGAACTTTCACATATGCACAATGTATTTTTGACGTTGAACAATATTCAATACACAGTCTGTGGTAGAGAAAATGAATATCATTTGAAAAACCATGTATAAGTTGTATTTACAAACTAATGTTCAATGTTTTCTTTCAATATTTGTTCCTTAACTTTTGTTAAGAATATTTCACAAAATATTTTACAGAAAACATCATTCTAGAAGGGATAGGAAAAAAATAAAAGTATTTCTTTTGCAATCATATGATACACGACCATATGGAAACTAAAATGAAACAGACAAAATAACAACTGACATTGGCAGAATTCAACATCTGTACATGATAAATCAAGGCAGATATTGCTCTTGCATCCAACCAGTGTTGAATGTATGTATTATCTAGCAAAATACAAATTGAATTGAGCAAATAGTTCAGTTCATCTCATATTCTTTAATCTTTCATTTCATGGTCTGTATTTTTCGGAAAATAACAGATGAATCACAGATGATAAATTCCTCACATAATTTCATAACCTTTCCAACAATGCAGAGAGAAAAAAATGTGCCTACATTTCCGAACGGCCAATTGCAGACTTTACAAGAAATTGAGCACTTGCGAAGCCGTAGGGATCCCATGATAGTAGAAAAACAAAAACATGCATTCAACAGCAGTTCGAATTTCGCAAAGCAGAAAGAATCAATTTGGTGCCACTACTTGAATTTTCATAGAATTAATATGACTGATGATAAAGATAATGAAAGATTCACATAGTTATATATACTATATGATCACACAGGCTGGCACTCTGGTAGTTATAATACTAATCATTTATTTAGCCCAAGACTAATTTAGAAAAAAATAAAATATATCCGGCACTGCACTTTTTGTACACATTGAGTGAAAACAAAAATAAAACGATAGAAATTACATGGAAAATAGAAAAATTTGCTTTCAAGTCATTTTCAAAACACTAAATTGAAAGTAGGGGTAGTTACATTTATTTGTTGAAATTTTTAATAAAGAATTCGGAGAAAATCTGGTACATTTTACCAATGTACCAACACACCTGTAAATGCATATTCAGTGAATTTAATATTAATCACAAAGTGCACATACAGTATGGAATAACCAAATCTTCTGTGTCTGTCTAAAATTATAAGATGACAACATAAAACTTTAACAATGTCAAAATATACTTTATTGTCTAAGATATCCAATTCATGTCCTATTCAGGTCGTACTATCCTTGGACATGAAATGGATGTCCATAATATAACCTTTAATGGACTTGGAATGGATATCCTTTGATGGATATTCTATAGAAATCCATGAGATACCCAAAATATACGATATCTTATGGACGTCCATAAGATATTCTTTGGACATCTTATGAACGTTCATAAGATATCCTTTGGACATCGGATGTTCATTTGTTATCTGGGAGGCCAGATTGTTGATTCAATACTTTTGATGACTGCAGTATGTCTTCTCTGTCTTTCTAATTAAAGGGTACTTGTAAAAAGACCAGGTAAGTGGTTATGTAGAACTCTTGAAAAGTAATACCATATCATAGATGAGAAGTAGGCTATTCTGCCTGAATTAAAGCCCTGCTCCGTAGTTATCATGCTAATTGCATAGCAGTTCTTGGAGATGCCTGCTTTTAGTTGTTCAATATCATTTTCATGTCACATAAATACAGTATTCCGTGTTCTACATATCAAAAGCTTTGGAGAAATCGCAGAACCTAGCCCTGACCATCGTTCCGTCCTATATAAACTTCATTCAGATTAAAAACTGACTCGTTGGTGATATTCTTGGATTGGAAGCCGAACTGAGAATTAAAATAGTATTATTTCCTTCTACAATTTAAGAGATATGTCTAAAATTATCAGGTTCGTCCAGTTGTCTACCTGCATGCTTAGGATGCAGTTTAAGGACACTAAAAAACACAACTGTCGTGAAAGGTATGTTATTGCTTCAGTTAGGTAAATTTCACAATATTTCAACAGATATTTGATCCATATCAAAAGAGTTTCTTATATCCGCTGAAATCCATAAGAGTTCTTCTATGCTCGTAGAATTTATTTAGCATTTTGGGATCCATATTCATATGAACATAATATTCCCTTCTTATTAATGATATTAGATTTTTCTTCTGGTCTCCCAAATCGATTATGAGCTGCATGTTGTTTGGAACGAGTTCTAGAAGCTCGCTTGATCTGCAGATTTTATACATCATGACAAAACCTTTCGAATAAGTTAACTAAAATGCTTACCTCCTAGTTTAGAATTTTTGGGTTGTTGCTGTCAGTCGAAAGAGGTTGAATCTAGGAAGTTCAGGGCTTTTAGGTAATCTGAACATATTTCATTTGGCTGTTCCATACTGTATATCTAAAGCCCAGGTTGAAAACATGAGTACATGTTTCAAGCATATTGCTCATGTTTTCCACAGTACACGAATCCTAACATACACTTACAGTAGAAATAGAAAACACTGAGAACAATCCTCTTCAAAAACACAATCAAGTAGGTAGATATAATAAAAGAATATGTACCTCACCTTGTTGTCCGCATCAGCAAGCGGATTCGCCGTAATCGTTATTCTATTGGGGGGAAGACCATTAGATTTCGGCATGGACTTCGGACTTACGACATACTCATTTCCATCAACTTGAATATGGTGGTCGTCTGTTCCGGGTTTATCCTGATTATCAACTGAAACAGAAGTAGCATCATGGAAATGAATGATATCTATTAGATCTAATATCATTTAGGAACTTCAATGAGATTGATATTGATTTATCGAACTAGGATTTTTTCTTGTTCTTTTTTGAATCGTACTACACCACTCAAAAACCCGTATGCATAACATACATTCATTCCCATACACTTGTAAGAGAGAATAAGTACCCATTGCTGATTTACCGAGTTTCATTTGAAATTTCATGTTGATACATTGCTCAGATGAAACGCCTAGCACTTTGACCACAAGAGGCAGATACACAGTCTGACGCGACCAAAGACTCTGGCACAACTGAGCAAGCTAGTGTCGTACAACTGGCTGGAATTTGGATTAGAGCTATCAGGCGACTCAGCAGTATGGCGTTTAAACTTGAGGCTCATGTCGCTTGTTTCACAGAAAACCATTCCCAGTTTTTTAGGCAACTTCCGTAAGTAAACATTTTTAGATATGTGGACATTAGAATTACCCTAATGGAAAAATGGCTTTTCTTCTATTCCAGTTAGTACAATTTTGGTAATGACAACTCATCTTACCTGATTTTCTCTGTTGCCACTTCCGGCAAACAACAACCAGGGTGATACCGCAAATTAGAAGGGCGCAGCCTATTACTACTACAGCAACAATAACGTACACATTGAATTCCTGTTTGTCACCGCCAGGAGTTGATACTATAGGTAGTAGAGTGGTTGTAAACTGCGACTGATTGGCTGTGAAATACAAATAAATGTTAATCTCTTAAAAAAGGCAAATATTATTTTTTGTCACCTTCAGTCCTAGCTTTCATGATGGGACTAAATTCGCCTGCAAATTTCGAGTTGAAACTCTGCAGTTTGATATCATATATTGTTCCTGGTTGAAGATGGCTCAAAATATATTCTGTGGTGTTTTCTCCATCCACGGTAGCCTTCATGTAGTCACCAGCAGTAGATGCGGACTGGAAGCTTATATAAAATCCTTCCACACTTACATTCTCAGATTTTTCATACTGTAAAAAAAAACTATTTTAAAAAAGAACCACTAGAAGTAACACTGGTATCAGAGCTGGAATGAGTTATATGATAGGGTAATGTATTTGGCAGAGTATGATGAATACTTTAACAAACAAGATGGTTTTGTTATCAGATTATCTACGAGTTCTTTCAATGGAATAGAACACAAAGAAAATTAAAGATTACATGAATGGGAGGCCAGACAAGAAGCTAAGAGAAAACAATACGAGTTGTGGAAACAATCAAAGCAAAAAGAACGGAAATGAAAATAAGAATCAGAAAACAAGATGTTGAATGAAACTAAAATTATGAAAATAAAAATGAATGTGAACCACAAGAAATGATAAGTCTTCAATGCCAACTTTTTTTTTCAGTTCCAATGAGGAAATAAATTAAGGTAACCCAGGGTTCCATTTCGTGGCCGATACTATTCATCTTATGATTTAATGATTTACCTCCGATCCTACCTGATGCATTCCCTATATTGTATGCAGATTATTTAACATTACTTTCGTAACAAGTCATGGTGAAGTAAAGTGATGTCCAGTTTAGGAGACTCTGTTTATAGTTCCAGAAGGATTTTTTAATCTCCGATTGGAGAAAGTATCTAAAAAATATCTCACCCACCTTCCAATGTATTTTCACACTCGTCGTATTCACCGTTTCTGTATGCGTTATCAAGGGAATCGGCAGAGGGTTCTTCATGTCGAAATCCAAGCGTTTAAGATGAAATTTGTCTGAATTGGCACTGAGCTTATTATCATTATTACTGTATGCCGCTGCTATTCTGAACCTGTAGATATGATCCGGCTTGAGATTTTCCACATCAAAAGATGTCAAATTCGGGGGGATGTCTGCATTGGTAGTCTTCCAGCTGGATCTTATCCTTTTGTTCGAATTGTCAGAGTTTGCGGGTCCCAGTTCCTTGTACTGCACTTTGAAAAACGATATTGGCAAGCCTAAAAATGAACAAGATGTGTTATAACTGAATCTGATTTTTCATTTGGTCATATAGTTATTTGGTTACTCATTCCCAAGAAACAAAATTAACATTACAGGAAGTTATGCTGAAACTGAATAGAATAGAATTTATTCATCATCAAAATTATCATATACATATGACATACATAAAGAACATTTTACCAGACGAGTTACAGCAAAGAATTTGCATGAAATTTTGTTTAAAAAATGGAATTACGTGCTCAAAAAAAACACTTGAAATGTTGCCAGTGGCATACGGTGATTGTAATCTGAGTCAGAAAAATGTTCACAAGTGGTAGAATTTTTCCACATAAGGTCGAGAAGACGTGAATGATGAAGCTCGCCCTGGACGCCCCAGCACATCAACAACCGAGGAAAATGTTGAGAAAGTGAAGAAAATATTATTGAGAATCGTCGAATCATTATTAGAGAAGTTGCTGAGGATGTCGGCATATCGGTTGGCTCATGCCATGCAATTTTTTCGAAAATGAAGCGTGTGACATCAAATTTCATTCCAAAACTGCTGAATTTTGACGGAAAAAATCCTCACATGAGCATCGCTTAGGAATTGTTGAGTGAAGTCAACGGCGATTCAAATTTATTTAAAAAGGGTCATAACTGGTGACGAATTGTGGGTATATGTATATGGTTATGACATCGAAGCCAAAGTCTAATGGTCTCAGTGAAAGAGCTCAGGAGATACAAGATCAAAAAAGCATGCCAAGTTCGATCAATTGTCAATATTTTGTTCACAGTTTTCTTCAACTACCATGGCGCAGTGCATTAGGAGTTCTTGCCACAAGAGCTTTCAATCAACTGTTTCATTTAATTTGAAGTTTATTTTTTTCTCTTTAGTGCTGATATACAAAAGTTTCTACTTGAAAATGTTTCATATGAACCCATTCATTCAAAATCCATTTCATGGGGGGTGCATCTGCATATTAGTCCATCATCTTTGGGGGCTCTCTCTCTCTCTATTTTGAATGGTCGTTGCTTCCTATCTTCAGGCGCATATGACCAATGCTCCTCCTGTCGATTGACAGGAGCTTCGTCGGAGGGCGCAGCGGTCTTGCACGAAGCAATGCTGCCACCCATTTTTTTTCGAACTTTTTTTTTATTAGGAAAACAATTTGATATTTATGAAGTGGCTTCCTGCTTGGGAGGCCTTTTGTTTTTTTTTTCACATATACAGTCCCCTTTTCGTGGTTATCCGAACCACGCCGGCCTGGATACCGGCGTGAATAAAGGGGGACGTTATCAGCACGTCCGTCCACTATCACCGCCACCACGGAACTCATCTTTGGGGGCCAGCCATATTAAATTTGATGTGATGTGAGCCATGTTATTTTTTGTAATAATTTCAGTAAACCCTTCCATTTGATAATGATAATGGTTTGTAACACATATACATGGAATTCAAAAGTGATACAGTGAAAAGTGATACGAAATGAATCGATAAAAGGCGAAGTTTAGCAGATGCATTTACTGAAAACAAACATAATCACCAATATTGATCCATTTGATGGCATATAATTGATATGCTGGCATATAATTAATTAGTTTCTGTATTAAAATCAAATTGCTCAGCAGATTTAACCGAAAAGAAAGACACACACCCATAACACATATAAAAATACGAATTGAAGACAACCATCTTATAAGATTGCAAAAAAAAATTGTTCGTCATCTTCGGCGGTGCGACATAATAATATATGACTTAGAGTGACGTCATGTTGTTTTTACGTATTTTTTTAGCAAACCATTCCATTTAATAACTACATCAATGGAGGTGCATAAAAAACTAGTCCGTCATGCGTGCGTCAAGTTGTAGCTAACCATCCAAACTAAATGCCTATGCAGAATTTCAACTCAATCGATTGGGGTTAAGTGCTTCTATATTTAGTTGTCAGATATGACCTAAACCAACATACCCACAAGAATTGCAAGTTAAATAGACTTGTGAAATAAACTTACCTGTGTCTGAAGGAACGCTCCACCGTACATTGACCGAATCATCTCTCAGCCTAGAGACAACAGGCTTACTGGGCGGTATCATCTGCAGAGGCTTGCTGTGCTTCACAGGCTTCCGATGAGAGTTTCCTTTACCCCTGTGTCTGTGGTGAGGACGAACGGACATATTCTCACTGTCAGTTGACACTAAAGGAATGACCCTCAAATATATACTGCTGTACACAGTCTTAACAGAATTCCTGGCGAAAAGCTGCAAGTTTCCTGCGTGGCGCTTCTCAATCCTGCTGAAGTTTATTCTGCTCTCCACCGTCTCCACCAGGCTGTCATTGGCAACAGAGAAGCCGTTAAGAAACCACGAAAAGCGCGGTTCCGGCACGCCCTTCACCACGCAGTGCAGGTCCAGGAAATCGCCTTGCTTCGGGTCCGTTACGTTGGTGAGACAGTCGATGGTCGGTTCTTCGTGGTACACGAGGGTTATGTGATGGGAGACGGTGCCGTACGGGTTGGTGTAGTTGCAGACGTATTCGCCGTCGTCGGAGGCAGTGATGTCCTTTATTCTGAGGCCGCCGCTCAGCATTTCGATGCGGTTCTTAGGTAGTTGGCCGTTTTTCTTGAACCATACCACTTTGGGGACGGGACTTCCTACCGCTGCGCATTCTAGCAATGCTGTTTCGCCTGTAATGTTAAATATAATATGCGTAATTGATTCGATGAAATCCGTGTTGGCGATATAGAGCATGATTTAGATTAAAAGCACTACGCTACAATACGTTTTGCTTCAAAGTCAAGTCCTTGTTGAATAAATCAATAATGAATTGAAAGGGATATTTTTTCCAAAAAATTATAGCACTAGATTATGACCGTCTAAGAAGCATGTTCTTGTAAAATTCTCACAGATTGAAGAACATTTTTATACTAAACAGGGAGGGGCAACATACTTAAAAATATCAATGCATGGTATCGATATGTAAGATTTTTTACTCACAAACTAAAACCTTTCTTTCAACACTCATATCATGAATAGCTATTCCATATCAGACACTCAGAAAGTTTTTGTGTACGCCTGCACGGGCATAAAGTACGATAAAATGCATGTAGTTGGTATTCAAGCACAAAACACACAAAACATTCTACTGACCTTTCAAAAAGGTGTATGTCCTCCTGGGCTCGACAACGAAATATGGCGCCCGAACGGGCGCACTGTCCACCACCTGCAGGCTGAACTGCGTGCTCGAATTGACGTACTCCATCGTGTTCGTCGCCCGACACGTATATACCCCGGAAGAGTCTTCCGTCACGTCAGCGAGGATCAACGACTTCGCCTGCGGGTACGCCGTCGAGACGATCTCCCCTCGCCTGTAGTACTCGACGAAGACCTCCGGGTTCGAGTCCGGCGGGAAGCACCTCCAGAGCACGGTGTTGCCGACGGAGACGACGGCGTCCGCGCTCGGCTGCTTCGGGAAGTTTCCTAGCGTCGCGACCGTCACCCGCCAAGGGACCGAGGCCACGACGAAGGCGCCGTAGTAAGCCAGGCATTGGTAGTCTCCAGCGTTGGCGGTGTTCACCTGGAATGGGAAATGATTATAACAGTGTTAGTTTCTTGGAAAGCGTAGATGGGCCATACACTTCCAAAGTTTATTTCTCCATAATTTCAATTTCAAGCTAACCTAACTAATTTTAGGCCTAACCTAAACTGATCTCATTCATATCCTAACCAACAAAATTGTTTTATAATTTCATAATACTGTAACAGTTTCATTTTGTTGGTATTTTATAATTACTTCCAAAATGCTACAGTTTTATTTTGTCGGTATTTTATAATTACTTCCAAAATGCTAATTAATTATATTAGACGACACTATTGTAGGCAATAGTGTTTTATAAATTTGTCATAGAAACGTTTATAAAATAAAATTAAAAAACCTTCATAAAATAGTTACGAATTTATCACAGAAACGTTTTTACAAGTAACTTATAAAACATTTTCTTATAAAAGTAAATTGTTTTGTAGCAGTTTTATAGCACTTTTCTGCGAGGTTTTTATGATCTTTATAAAATTATTTCAAGTTTACAAGTAACTTATAAAACATTTTCTTATAAAAGTAAATTGTTTTGTAGCAGTTTTATAGCACTTTTCTGCGAGGTTTGTATGATCTTTATAAAATTATTTCTAGCTTATTTTATAACTGCTTCCTGTAACTTTACAAAATTTTGTTTTTATCATCATGTCACTCCAATGATAATTTCCCAACTATTTTATAATATGATATATCTACTACAATTCCAAAACAATAAAGTAACTGTTGAAAAATCAAAGTGATTCCGCGAATATATATTTGCTGTTGTCAATAATGAAATGCAGCATTTGAGAAGAACCAGCTGACATTCATTTCAGAGGCCATGTAATGAAGTATAATTTGCCAGTTTTATGTGACTAGCGTCTCGATAACTATATATCTAACAATGTTGTAATATTGGTATTCGTTCAGACGAAGACCCACGTAACCTAGTGCTTCAATTCTTTTCTTGCCAAAAACACGAACAGATTATCAATTATTGAAATCCGTCGATTTAAGTGGAGCGCCATGTATATATACCCTCAAATCATTAGCTCGAAACTTCTTCGAAATTTTGCGTTTACAATCGATGAAAGACGCTCTTTAGCGACAACATCCCGATAGATAATATTTATCCAATTTATACATGGAATCTTATCTTCATACAAGCATTTTTGTAGGAATCTGTAGCTATAAAAATACTTCAACTCTGCCGCAATACCCCTAGAACTAAATATTCCTCAACAGTTCATTAAGGCTAACATAGTAGCTGAAATAGGTTAAAATGTTTGCTACTGAGACCATTTCAAAATTATTTGTTAGTTTTTAGTTGTTGACATATCTATTATATTTTCCTAGTATCCGATACAAAATTAAGAAAACATTTTGTCACTTATCGTTTTAGACTACTTTATACTTTATGACGGTTACTTGGAACTACTAAGAAACTCTTATGAAATTGTCTTTTGATTATTTAAGTAGTATCTTTACAAAACTGTGTTAGAAAAATGACGTCACTGCATGCATTATTTCAACAAGAAATATCTTACCACGACGAGGTTCCACATCTTCGCTGCCTCAGCTACCGTCGTACAAACAGTGCTGCAACCCGCTAACAACATGAGCTTCGTTGGTTGGTTGTAGAGCAGATTATACATGACGCTGGCTCCCAGTCCCGGCTCGCACTGCAAAAATTTGCATAAATTAGTATAGTAACCCTTCTAACTATACCCGTTCAACATCAAAAACAAACGAAATCTGCCGCCGGCGAGGCTCTTGTTTGAGAAAGGATACGCGAGCAGAAAAGGATTCCGCTAAAACAATCTCCTTCCAACATACACGGTATCTGTCGACGTTCTTGTTGATATAAAGGTCCGTTCTCCTCGGCCTTATCCGCTTCCTTTTCAGGAGGGTTATGCCTCACGACATTGTTATGATACTAGGGTTTATTGTCTAATAATAGTTCTAATGATAACACTTGAGTTTAACAGGTTTACACAAAGGGAGAGGTTTTTTCTCCAGCATCCCTCGCATGACATATAATGATGAAGATAGCGGAATGTTTTATACAGTGGGTTGCACTTGATAGGAGGACAAAGCGTTGACTTCATTCAATTCAAAGAGTAAAATTTCAATTTCAATAAATATAGTTTGAATAAACTAAAAATTTTAACTTTTTAGTTTGATGTTCTTCAAAAGCGTGTTTTTTAGTTTTTTTTAAACTAGTCTAGTCACTAATATTATAAATCTTCAACAGACGGCGCACGAACACGGCGTAAAATTCCTCCCAAACAACATAATAAAGTTTGAGCATTGGTTTGAGTCTCCAACAGAGAGCGGACAGTTGTAAAATTTGTTTCGAAGTAAAGAGAAAATTTACAGTAATAATTTCAAAAAACAATTCAGTCTTGATGTTTTTATTTGAAATATAAACACATTGAAAACATTTTTGGGAGAAATAGTTTTATAATTTGTTTCTACGGAACGTTTTTGCAACTATTATAAAATATTATAGTTGGGATCGATCTTAAATCAAACAATTGTGGAAGAAAAGTTGTTTTGATAGTAAGCTAATATAGAAGGTCATTTTTGAAACCCTTTTGAACAAACACTCATATGTCCTAATGGTCTTAAATATTGAACTATCAGAGTGATGAAAACTTTATTTTTAATGATAACTATGATATTTCGGTGTACACATCTTCTTTATATATGCGTCAAAATTTATTTTCTGCTGTACAAAACATTTGATTCTTAGCAGCGGGGTCCACTACAAGGTGCCAAATATTTAGAAAAAAATAAATAAAATATTTTTTTCTAAATATTTGGTTGATAACTTTGGTATGACCATAGATATTTTTGCAAAATGCATAAAAAATATTTTATACTCGGAATTTACACTGAATCATGTGGAAGAGAAAAATGATACGTCACTGATTATTCATTTTCTGAAAATAATTTTTGTACTTTTTCTGAGCGAATCTGATAAAATGCTTGATAAAAATCCATTAGTGTTTTTTGAATACATGAATTATAAAAAACTGGAGAACATCCAGAGAAAGAGAAATCAATTGAATTCATCAATAAAAACCCCTTACAATATGTGTAGGGCATGTATAGATACAAACTAGAAGGAAAAAAAACAATCGGAAACAACTACTTTCAAAACTAAAAGTTGAATTACACGGAAACCATTTTCTCTGATATTACTTGATATTATGTAGGGTGGGTGGAGCTATTGACATTTTTTAAAATTACTATTATTTATTTTCTTTAAACTCAGGAGTTCAAGAATTCTTAAACTCTTACTTCACCCCGGAAATTCAACTAAATTTCAAGACTGGGGGCAATTTTACACAGCGAATTTTTGTCTCACCTGCAACGACAACGCAGACTTGTTCTTTCCCACCGTTTTGAACCGACTCGGGGTAACCATGTGGAAAGAACCATTGGTGAGATCGACGTAGGCGTTGGGATTGTACGGATCATCCGTGGGATAAAATTTCCATTCGAATTTATCAGGATCTATCTCCGTTTCGCACGTCAACAAAGTCTCGAAGCCTTTCGGAAGAGAGATCGGTTCCGATTCAGATACAATATACGAAGTGTCTGTAACATATATTACAACTATGATTAAAAATTCAACAACAAACCCTGAAAGTACCACAAGGTTCGGTACTAGGGCCACTGTTCTTCATTGGCTTATTTTTGAATGTTAGGGAAAGGGAGACGGATAGTTACTACTTAAACCAAAATTTGACTCACCTGAAGACACCATCTCCACAAATACCACCAATGTAATGGCAACAATGGCGACGGTATGAACACTCTCCATGTTGATGCATGCCTGAAACAATACGTTACAAAATGATATTGTCGAGAATAGACTGATTTACGTAATTACAATTATATAAAATAATTTCATTGTGCTATGAATCGCACTTTAAAAGGTTAGCCCTCGTTAATCCTTAGCTCGCACAAGTTTCGACTTCTGAGATTTGTTGTTCGTATGGGAGTGGGGCGACAGCTGGTTAATGGAAAAATATATTTTATTTTTTAACAGATACAAAAAAACTTCAAAATATACATTGCACATACTTCAAGACTCCTAAAACGCAGGATATTTCACAAAACTGACTGTAAAAGAAACATTTACAGTGGATTACAACAATTCAACTATTTAATTTAGAAATTAAGAACCATTTTTAAAATCGTACTTTCTTTAAATGGTTCATATCAACAAAAAAGACAATATTAATAGTTAAAATAATATTTACAATATGATGTTATTCAAAACTAAAACATCTAAATACTGATTTTATCAGTATGTTCGTGGAGCCCGATTCTCTAGTCATAGAAATCGTTTTCTCTAGGAAATTACTCAAAATGACGTAATTCGGCATTAACCATTCTTTAATCATCTTTGTTTGTTTCCTTGAAATTCTCAGCATAAGATTCATCGTTCTGGGGTTTAATTCTCGAGTCATGAGAATTTTCCCCCCTATAGGAAGTGACGCCAAAATGACGTAATTTTGCATTCTAGGGCATACTAGAATCAGACCCCTGTCATATGATATATTTCTCCAATCAATGTCAAACTGAGTAAATATAAACCAAAATGCTCCCATTCTTTAATTATTTTTCTGGTTTATTGGAAATTCTAAGCGATAGGTATGTCAATTCGATTCATCGTCCTGGGGCCTAAGTCTAGAGTCATGGAATTATTCCTATTAGGAAGTGACGTCAAAATGACGTAACTTGGCATTCTAGAACAGTCGATCAATGCGGATAGCTTCCCATAACTCTAGAATGAGGCCCATGATGTATTTTTTCAGGGATTTATTTGACAACTGTCATAAATTCATTATTTATCGTTATTTTCACAGACTAAAAATGCCGTTAACAAGTTAATATAATTATGGTTTAATACAAATTTAAAAAAAAGTGATTCTGCGAAACAAGTACTTTGAATCATATTCATAAATATTACATAGACATTTGAGTTTCTTGGCACCCAGCAAAAATACAGAAAGATAATCTCAAATCTCTCAGAAATAAACATTAAAATTTTTTTCATGATCATATATAGTGTGACTTATTTAAAATGAAAGATTGCTTATAAAACGCATTTTTTTCAACCGATTGGAATGAAAAATCGACTAGAACACCAAATTTCGTGAATTAGTCGTAGTTTTCAACAGATTTTGATAAAATTGTGGACAGTTATAGACCAAAACCTACTAAAGCCAGTGGGGTAGTCATAATTTTGTTGATCGTACTGAAATAATTTTAAATGTTATTATTCTGACGAACACATTTCGATAAATTGAATGAAATAAAATGATTTTCATGTGATTCAACAGTAGTTGTTCCACTTTGTATTTGATAAAAACTTTTATGAAGAAGTAAGGGCCAAGGGTGCAATACATAATAAAAGAAAACCTAGTCAGGTAATTATTGCACCCATTTTGGGTTTTGGTTTCAACAAAAAAATATAATGAAAAATAATAATTTTCCGGATTGTGCCAAAGAAGGATGAATCTGTGTTGTGAAATTTAACTTAAAATTTAGCGGACATTATCATTATCATTATATGAAGGATCCACGATCCACTTGAAATTCATTGTGAAACAGTTTTATCGACATCTCCAAATCAGCCACTCTGCATATTTAACAAGTGCATCACTATTGATTCAACATTTCCCCTCATTCAGGAAGCGGACATCAATCCTTCCCAGTGATTTCAACGACAGATAAAGTCGAGCACCTCTCACAATATGGATTCAGTCGCTTCCTTCTGTGTTCGAAATGAAGGGCTTGTTTCGAATTAACCTGTATCGAATTACCGGATTCTCCGGTTGCAAAATCACGTTAGGGGTTAACGAGACGCTTCCGCAATGAGGATTCGCAGACGATTTGATGGAAATTCACTGTTATCTGAGATTGGTTCCTGGGTGGTATGATAGTTTTTTCGAGATCGGAAGTACTGAAAAAAAATACCATGTGGAACACGTGCCATTGCTTACCTTCAGCATTATTTTTCCTGAAGGGGCTTCGCAAATATATTTTTAATCCGACAACTCTATCATGAACAATTTATTGACCTCTTTCTCCTATCATCAGGTGTATATTCTGTTAATAGTGCAGCCTCATTGGCCATTATTTGGACTGGGTCCAGGTCGTTTTCATGCTTAGCAGTAGATTTTGTGTGAAAAAAGAGTTGTTTTTTAAGATATAAAAAATAGTAGAAAATATAGTTTAAAAATACATGCTACATACATAGTAATTTCCACCGTTTAAAGTCATTTAATAGTTATTACCGAGTTATCAGTAGATATAGAACAGTAGCTCGAGGCCTAAACAGGAGATCTACTGCAAAAATAGTAGATCTGGCAACACTGAAAACGGTGATCTTCTCCTGCATTTTCTTCTTAACCAGCACTGGATTGATTCGCAATATTCCGTAGTATCACTACATAACCGCTTCATTGTGAAATATTCAATCTTATCGTTTATGGCATTGTAAATAACAAAGTGATAGATTTTGCCGACTCTCCTGCTTCTGTTATGACATCACAATTATCAATGCGCGCATAATCAGAAATGTTAAATGTTTGCGCGAACCGTGACAACTCTCATATCCTAACAAACCCAACAAACAAATCAATTTGTTTGTTATTTAATTTTTATTCAAAATCAATAGTTAATGTTCTGATTGGTTTCCGGGTTTTGCCGTGGTCTTCTTTGGTGACAATCTCCAAACGTTTCAACTACAACTGCGGCAGTCATCTTCGGTAGCGAGGTCGAAGTACTCTTCTTGACGTATCAAGTTAATAGTCACTGACATGTGTTTTTTTCAAATAAAACACAAGCACTACAAAAAGGATCCTTTGAGAAGCAATTCCAGCGAAATGATTATGCCAAGACATATTGGTGTCAATTTTAATAGAGTTGGAGACAATATGGATCCCTGGGGAACACCAACGTTGATAGTGAAAGTATTTGAGAGATATCCATCGACGGCCACTTGCAGGGAACGTTTTTTCAGGACGCTGAGGAGCCATTCACCAAAGTGATACAAGCCTTTATATAATAATAATATAAACCGATGAAAAAGTTGAGAAAGTGAAGAAAATTGTTTTGGAGAATCGTCGAATCATTATTAGAGAAGTTGCTGAGGATATCGGCATATCGCTGGGCTCATGCCATGCTATTTTATCGGAAATTTTGGTCATGAAGCTTGTGACAGAGAGTTTAGTTTCAAAATTTCTGAATTTTGAACAACAATAGCGTTGCATGAGCATCGCTCAGGAATTGCTGGATTACGTCAATGGCGATCCAGATTTGCGGTCAATAAGGAGTATCAACTTGAAGTCATACGCCGCTTGCGTGAAACAATACCAAGAACACGTCCGGTATTGCGGAAACATAATTCATGGCTTGATAATGCTTGTACGTGATTTTTTGGTCAAAAACAAGACCATAATCGTGCCTCAGCCACCGCATACACCAGATTTGGTCCCCTTTGACTTTTTCTGTTTTCAAGATTGGAGTGACCCATGGAAGGACGGTGTTTTGTGAGGAATCGCTAAGAGAGCTTGAGGACATACCAAAAAGTGCATATCAGAACTCCTTCGAGGATTGGAAAGAAAGCTTGCACATGTGAATTAAATCTAAAGGGAACTACTTTGAAGGAAATATAAATGGATAAATAGATAAATATATTTTTGAGAAAAATAATAGAAACTTATAGACAATACTCCTAATTATAATTTTTTATATATTTTTTATCTATTCAATTTATTCATAAAACAACTCGTACTGGAATAAGTCACCTTCCGAACGTAAAATACTAATTGCTCACCTTTCTCCATTCTTTCATCTTCATATCTGATATAATCTGATAAATAATTCACTTTTTCCTCAAACCAAACCACAAATGAAGGAGTAACTTAAATAAACGTTTCAGATTTCGTCAATAGCCACTTCAGGCACTACACACACTACCGACAGTCACCAACAAAAAGCAGAACCACCTTCTGCGGAGCTTGCCAACATGCACAACCAACTTCTCCGTTAGAAATTTACTACAATGTGGGCTCTACTACGGCCGTGTATTCATTCAGAAATAAAAATCGCAGCGAGTGCGTAGGAAAAAGTCGAAAGTAAAACAACGCCTAACCCTAACCTTCTTGCGCTGAACGTAGGCATGTTTACCGGCGCAATCAAGAGAAAAGAGCCGAATTACAAAATGGACGTTATTATAATAATTACTAGTGGGTGGTGAATTATTGTTTACCTGGGATTTTAATAATATACGCTTGACCGTTTCGTCATTGGAGATTGTTATTTTATAGATACTATAGGAAGATCCTATCGTTATTGGAAATCCAGCTGAAGCGACCGTAAAAACAACTGTTGGTGCAGTCAAGGTTCTACAATACACATATGCCAATAAATACTCGTTTTCTGAACAAATTCTTTTGAAAATCTATACCTATTCCAATATTTGAAAGTTTCTTAGGAAACCGTCGTCTTCAAATTAAAGTTGGATAGCATACTCTATCCCACATCTTTCTTGGATAGGCTCAAATTGAGCGTTTTTCAACAAGAAAAATCTCTATAGGACAAGTAGAGGATCCTACAAAATCTTGGTAATATTGTTACGTTTTTACCCGTGGGTTCACCAATAATTGACTACACTGAATAATCAAACTCAACTTTATTTCACTTTAGATACAACAAACACTTCAACCGAAAATTTAACTATTATTTGAATGTCTATCGCCTTAGTAGATCGCTTCGCGTACCGCACTGTAGCTTCCACTTGATTGTCTCGATATCCTC